TGGTAAGTGGTAGCAATGCATCAAGCTACTACAGTCCAAACCTCTGATTAAATACACTACATGACCAAAAGTATGTGGACAGCTGCTCACCGAACATCTCATTCCAAAATCATGGGCCTTAATATGGAGTTGGTCCCCCCTCTGCTGCTATAACAGCCTCCACTCTTCTGGGAAGGCTTTCCACTAGATGTTGGAACATTTCTGTGGGGACTTGCTTCCATTCTGCCACAAGAGCATTAGTGAGGACGGGTACTGATGTTGGGCGATTAGGCCTGGCTCGCAGTCGGCGTTCCAATTCATCCCAAAAGTGTTCGATGGGGTTAAGGTCAGGGCTCTGTGCAGGCCAGTCAAGTTCTTCCACACTGATCTCGACAAACCATTTCTGTATGGACCTCGCTTTGTGCACGGGTGCATTGTCATGCTGAAACAGACTGAACCAGGCTTCCCTCTAGGATTTTGCCTGTGCTTGGCACCATTACATTTATTTTTATCCTGAAAAACTCCCCAGTCCTTAACGATTACAAGCATACCCATAACATGATGCAGCCACCACCATGCTTGAAAATATGGAGTGTGGTACTCAGTGATGTGATGGATTTGCCCCAAACATAACAATGTTAATTGTTTAACAAAGTTAATTACTTTGCCACATTTTTTGCAGTATTACTTTAGTACCTTGTTGCAAACAGGATGTATGTTTTTTACATTTTGTACAGGGTTCTTCTTTTCCTTCTGTCATTTTGGTTAGTATTGTGGAGTAACTGCAATGTTGTTGATCCATCCTCAGTTTTCTCCTATCACAGCCATTAAACTCTCTAACTGTTTTAAAGTCACCATTGGCCTCATGGTGAAATCCCTGAGCAGTTTCCTTCCTCTCTGGCAACTGAGTTAGGAAGGAGGCCTGTATCTTTGTAGTGACTGGGTGTATACACCATCCAAAGTGTAATTAATAACTTCACCATGCTCTAAGGGATATTACATTTCTGCTTTTTTTAAATATTTAACCATCTACCAGTAGGGGCCTTTCTTTGCGAGTCATTGGAAAACCTCCCTGGTCTTTGTGGTTGAATCTGTGTTTGAAATTGACTGCTCGTCTGAGGGACCTTACAGATAATTGTATGTGTGGGGTACAGAGATGAGGTAGTCATTCAAAGATCATGTTAAACACTATTATTGCGCACATAGTGAGTCCATGAAACTTATTATGTGACTTGTTAAGCAAATGTTTAATCCTGAACTTATTTAGGCTTGTCATAACAAAGGGGTTGAATACTTATTGACTCAAGACATTTCAGCTTTTCATTTTTTACTAATTTGTTTTAAAAGAAAAATGACATTTGAAAAACATAATTCCACTGACATTATGGGGTATTGTGTGTAGGCCAGTGACAAATAAATCTCAGTTCAATCCATTTAAATTCAGGCTGTAACACAACAAAATGTGGAAAAAGTCAAGGGGTGTGAATCCTTTCTCAAGGCACTGTAGAAAGTATATAATGTGTAATTACGAAGACAGCATTAAGACTGATGTGCACAGTAAAGCTATAACAATGTTTATTGGGTGATCATGATCATACCACTCATATAAAATATTCATACATGTTGATTACATTGTGGTGATGGTGGGTAATTTCTTTCACGCTCAGTTGAATAAGAATTCTAATTATGTGGACATGATATTCAATATTCATACATACAAGAGAAAGTGTCCTGATGGTTTGTGGAAGGTTGCATTGGCACTAGACATAGACGATTGTGCAATGTGTTGCTTTTAACAGAGTGTTAGGATTAAGGAGACGTCATGCACAGGTTGGACCCACCTCAAGCCTAACAACAGCAATAACCAGGGACAGGGACAGCTTATTGAATACACAAAGAAACCAGCGGAGATAGAAGGTGATACAATACTTGATCAAAGAAATCACAGTCAACTAATATAATGAAATAAATACCAAAAGATAGTTAAAGTGATTGGTCAACAGGAAGGGTATGTTGTGAAGTTAAAGTGATTGGTCAACAGGAAGGGTATGTTGTGAAGTTAAAGTGATTGGTCAACAAGAAGGGTATGTTGTGAAGTTAAAAAGTGATTGGTCAACAGGAAGGGTTGTGAAGTTAAGGTGATTGGTCAACAGGAAGGGTATGTTGTGAAGTTAAAAAGTGATTGGTCAACAGGAAGACCCTGACTCAATCCTGTCTAATAATCAACCTACATAGGTAAGGTAACATAGAGTGAAACCATGGTAACATGAAGGATGGGTACAGCACTCAACTAGACATCAGATGGGTCATAGAGAGACCAGCTCTCTCAACAGCACAACTACAGGACAACCTTTCATTGTTTACATCTCATTATGGCATTGTGCTACAAGGCAATTCTCCATTTGTATAAAACAAAAATAACATTCAATATAGTAGGCCAATATAGTCGGCCACTCTCAATAATCTTATACTAAATTAAGCGGTTGACATGAAAACATACATTGAGTGGACAAAACATTAACATGCTCTTTCCATGACATAGACTGACCAGGTGAATCCTGATGAAAGATATGATCCCTTATTGATGTCACCTGTTAAATCCACTTCAATCAGTGTAGATGAAGGGGAGGAGACGGGTTAAAGAAGGATTTTTAAGCCTTGAGACAGCTGAGACATGGATTGTGTATGTGTGCCATTCAGAGGGTGAATGGGCCAGACAAAATATTTAAGTGCCTTTGAATGGGGTATGGTAGTAGGTGCCAGGTGCACCGGTTTGAGTGTGTCAAGAACTGCAACACTACTGGGTTTTTCACGTTCAACAGTTTCCCGTGTGTATCAAGAATGGTCCACCACCCGAAGGACATCCAGCCAACTTGACACAACTGTGGGAAGCATTGGAGTCAACATGGGCCAGCATCCCTGTGGAATGCTTTCGACACCTTGTAGAGTCCACGCCCGACGAATTGAGGCTGTTCTGAGGGGAAAAAGGGTGTGCAACTCAATATTTGGAAGGTGTTCCTAATATGTTTGGTATACTCAGTGTAGCTATGCCGAAACATTTCAGAACAAATATCAAAGAAACACAACATTTGATGGGTCTGGAAAACACAAAAATAAGTGAAGAAAAAGTCAAGGGAAAATGTAAACAGGAAGAGAAAGACTAGAAGATTCCCCTTCAAGTCACATGATGGTGCTATGATGACAGTAGGTCACTGGAGAGGGACAGTCACATGATGGTGCTATGATGACAGTAGGTCACTGGAGAGGGACAGTCACATGATGGTGCTATGATGACAGTAGGTCACTACAGAGGGACAGTCACATGATGGTGCTATGATGACAGTAGGTCACTGGAGAGGGACAGTCACATGATGGTGCTATGATGACAGTATGTCACTGGAGAGGGACAGTCACATGATGGTGCTATGATGACAGTAGGTCACTGGAGAGGGACAGTCCACATGATGGTGCTATGATGACAGTAGGTCACTGGAGAGGGACAGTCACATGATGGTGCTATGATGACAGTAGGTCACTACAGAGGGACAGTCACATGATGGTGCTATGATGACAGTAGGTCACTACAGAGGGACAGTCACATGATGGTGCTATGATGACAGTAGGTCACTGGAGAGTGACAGTCACATGATGGTGCTATGATGACAGTATGTCACTGGAGAGGGACAGTCACATGATGGTGCTATGATGACAGTAGGTCACTGGAGAGGGACAGTCACATGATGGTGCTATGATGACAGTAGGTCACTACAGAGGGACAGTCACATGATGGTGCTATGATGACAGTATGTCACTGGAGAGGGACAGTCACATGATGGTGCTATGATGACAGTAGGTCACTACAGAGGGACAGTCACATGATGGTGCTATGATGACAGTAGGTCACTGGAGAGGGACAGTCACATGATGGTGCTATGATGACAGTATGTCACTGGAGAGGGACAGTCACATGATGGTGCTATGATGACAGTAGGTCCCTACAGAGGGACAGTCACATGATGGTGCTATGATGACAGTAGGTCCACTACAGAGTGACAGTCACATGATGGTGCTATGATGACAGTAGGTCACTACAGAGGGACAGTCACATGATGGTGCTATGATGACAGTATGGTCACTGGAGAGGGACAGTCACATGATGGTGCTATGATGACAGTATGTCACTGGAGAGGACAGTCACATGATGGTGCTATGATGACAGTAGGTCACTACAGAGGGACAGTCACATGATGGTGCTTGATGACAGTAGGTCACTACAGAGGGACAGTCACATGATGGTGCTATGATGACAGTAGGTCACTGGAGAGGGACAGTCACATGATGGTGCTATGATGACAGTAGGTCACTACAGAGGGACAGTCACATGATGGTGCTATGATGACAGTAGGTCACTACAGAGGGACAGTCACATGATGTGTGCTATATGCCAGTAGTCACGGGGAGGGCAGTCACATGGGGGTTATATACAATGTCACTGGAGAGGGACAGTCACGATGGTGCTATGATGACAGTGGGTCCGGGAAAGGGACGCACATGATGGTGCTATGATACAGTAGGTATACGAGGGCATCACATGATGGTGCTATGATACAGTAGGTACTGGAGGGGGAAGTCACATGATGGTGCTATGGGCCCATGGGCATGGAGGGGGACAGTCACATGAGGTCTAGATGACTACAGAGGACAGTCCACATGAGGTGCTATGATGACAGTAGGTCACTGGAGAGGGACAGTCATGATGGTGCTATGATGACAGTAGTCACTGGAGAGGGACAGTCACATGATGGTGCTATGATGACAGTAGGTCACTACAGAGGGACAGTCACATGTGGTGCTATGATGACAGTAGGTCACTGGAGAGGGACAGTCACATGATGGTGCTATGATGACAGTATGTCACTGGAGAGGGACAGTCACATGATGGTGCTATGAGACAGTAGGTCACTGGAGAGGGACAGTCACATGATGGTGCTTATGATGACAGTATGTCACTGGAGAGTGACTTGAAGCTGTGCTCGACAGGGCCGAGGTGAAGAACTCCTGCCCCACGACAGGGCCGAGGTGAAGAACTCCTGCCCCACGACAGGGGCCGAGGTGAACCCGGGTTCTGCTTCTAGAATGCATTCCTAGAACATTACTGGAGCCTGGAATGATGGACTATTATTGGTCCAAGGTTTCCATGGAAAGCGCCAATCAACAGACGTTTCTGTAAAAGTGGTTCAAGTCTTTGGTAGACCAGGTGTGTTGGTTCCTGTACTGTCTAATACTGCAGCATGGTCTCCTACCACCAAGACACCCACCTACCTATCATTTGGGAGGGCTAAAGCATTCAGATTAGAGGTTGTATTGAAGAAAAAGATTTACATCAGAAAATACAATCAGTCCCTCCTCTCAACAAGCACAATGATTTCTTTGAAAAATACTGATTCAGATTGCAATGATCCAGCTCTGCAATCACAGCTGTATGGCTGTGGGACAGAATAACATGGTGGTTGTCATGTCAATCTCTCAACTCAATGTCCCTCAGCCACAACTAACAGATCAACAAACAGCGATTATGGTGTTTACAAAAGCTTGGCAGGAATACTGGAAGTAATAGCAAGAACCTTTGGCCACCAGCGTTTTGGTCCACTGGTCCTCAACAAGCCGCAGTACTCAGCATGTGGAGAACATGGAGGTGACAGGTCCAGCATGTGGAGAACATGGAGGTGACAGGTCCAGCTATGAAGAATATACACCAACAACAAAAAAGTCCAGCATTGCAGAGCAGCTACTTGTGAATGAGTGGGGAGTCTGTGGATACAGCACTTGTCATCATGGTGGGTCATTACTCATGACAGCATCTGCAGGTGGGCAGGACACCCAGGCTAGGGCCCTGATTGGCTGGAGTCTGAAATCCCTGGGCCCTGATTGGCTGGAGTCTGCAGGTGATGGGCCATGATAGGATAGAATCACACAGACCTGGTTCCTGACAGGCTAGAATCACCCAGACGTGGTTCCTGATAGGCTGTTGTCTGCAGGCACTGCACCCTGATAGGCTGTGTGCTAGTTGTCCTCCTCATCGTCGCTACAAAGCGTGCGCGCGTCGGGCGCCGTGGTGTGCGTCTCTCTCTCTCGGAGGAAGGTCTGTCTGATGGCATCAAGCTCTGTTAGCTCCAGTCTAACCTTCTCCAGGTGGAAGGTCCGTCGGTTCTGGATCTGTCTCAGGGGGAACGGATTCATGTCCACAAACGCCATGCTCATCAACTTCCTGCAGGGAGGGAGAGAGAGAGAGACGTCTTCATATTTGGCGAGGAAGAGGAAGGCAACAGACTTGATCAGCTTCTACAGTAAACACAGCATTACTACTGGTCTTTCTAATGAGTCATACATTACTCAATACACAGAGAGTCATACATTACTCAATACACAGAGAGTCATACATTAATCAATACACAGAGAGAGACATACATTAATCAATACACAGAGAGAGACATACATTAATCATACACAAGGAGAAAACATTACTCATACAAGAGAGTCATCTTAATAAATACACAAGAGTCTACATTAATCAATACACAAAAGACAACTTAAATAAAACCAGAGACCTACATTAATCTAAAAAGAGGAGCATACTTTTAATCAATACAATAAGTCATCTTTAACAATACACAGAGAGAACATACATTCCTAATACCAGGGGGAAGCATACATTAATCATCACAAGAGTCATACAAATCAATACACAGGTCATACATTCTAAATACAATAGGTCATCTTTCCAAAACACAGAGAGAGACTACTTTTACCAAATACACAAGGTCTAATTAATAAATCAAAAGAGGACATACATTACTCAATACACGAGGAGCAACTTTAATCAATCCCCAAAAAGAGTGGTCCTCTTAGCCAGCTGTAGAGCAGGGCGCTTGTAACGCCAAAGGTATGGGTTCGATCCCCGGACCCCCATCCCCAAAAAAAAGGTTGAAACCATGTTAAGTCGTTTTGGGGAAAAAAAGGTCTCAAATGGCATATAATTATTATTATTTTAAATACAAAAGGGAAAAGACACCTACTAAAACACAAGGGGGTTACTTAATATCACAAGAGAGACATACTTCATCAATACACAAGGAGTCATAATAATCAATACACAGAAGAGTATAAATTATCTACACGGGCAAATTAATCAATACACAGAGGGGCATACATATCAATACACAGAGAGAGTCATACTTTAAACAATCACAAGAATCCATTCTAAATACACAGAGGTCAAATTAACAATCACGAGGTCCTACATTCCCAAATACACGAGAGGACTACTTTACTCAATACCCGAAGGTCTACTTAATCAAACAAAAGAGTCATACATTAATCAATACACAGAGAGTCAACTTTAATCAATACACAAGAGAGTCATACATTACTAAATCACAGAAGAGACATCCTTCCAATACACAGAGGAGTCTACTTAATCAAAACAAGAGAGCATACTTTAATTTAAATACCGGGGAGTCATACTTCCAATACCAAGAAAGAAAAACTTTAAAATAAATACCAGAGAGAGTAAACTTTAAATAAACACCGAGAGTCATACATTAATCAATAAACGAGAGTCAACTTAAATCAAACACAAGAGTCATTTTTAATCAATCCAAGAAGTCATACATACCATACCAGAGAAACATCCCTTACTCAATCCAGAGAGAGTCATACATAATTCAATCACAGAGAGAGTCATACTTAATAAATACACAGAAAGTCATACTTACTCAATCACGGGGAAAGAGCCCACATTAATCAATACACAAGAGTCATCTTTAATCAATACACAAAAGGAACATTAATAATCCACAAAAGAGACAACATTACAATCACAGAGAGAGTCATACATTACTAATACAAGAGAGAAAATTTACTAAATAACAGAGAGAGACATACATTACTAAATACAAAGAGAAAATCCATTACTCAATCCCAAAAGGGAAGTAAAACATTATTCATCACGAGAGAGACATACAAATCAATACCAGAGAGAGTCATACTTTAATCAAAAACAAGAGAGAACTACTTTAAAATACCGAGAGAGAAAACTTACTAAATACACGAAGAGTCATACTTTAATCAATAACGAGAAGACTACTTTAATACCAGAGAGAGTCATCATACTAAATACCAGAGAGAGACTACATTATCAATACACGGGGAAGCATACTTACTCAATCCGGGAAGAGTCATACTTAACAAAAACCCAGAGAGAGCATACTTTATTAATACACAAGAGTCTACTTTAAATAAATACACAAGAGAGACATACTTACTCAATCCCAAGAGAGGACATACTTTACTCAATACACAAAGAGTCAACATTACTCAATACACGAGAGGTCAAAATTTACTAAATACCGAGAAGTCTACTTACTCAATACACAGAGAAAACATACATTCCATCACGGAAAAGGTCATACTTTACCATCACAGAAAGACAACTTTCTCAAAAACCAGAGAGAGTATACTTTAAATCAAACACTAGAGAGTTACATTACTCAATACACAGAGAGACATACTTTAATAAATACAAAGAGAGAATACATTACTAATACACAGAGGAAAATCATACTAAATACCAGAGAGTCTACATTAAAAATAACAAAAGAGTCAACATTACTAATTACACAGAGAGATACATTAAAAATCACAGAAAAACATACATTACTCAATACCAGAGAGGACATAATTTACCAAACACGGGAAAATATACTTTACTCAATCACGAGGAGTCATCATTACTCAATACAAAAGAGAAGTCAACATTACCAAAAACCAGAGAGCCATACATTACGCAATACACAAGAGAGAGTCATACATTACTCAATACACAGAGAGAGACCATACAATTACTCAATACACAGAGAGAGTCATACATTAATCAATACACAGAGAGAGACATACATTACTCAATACACAGAGAGAGATATACATTAATCAATACACAGAGAGAGACATACATTACTCAATACACAGAGAGAGTCATACATTAATCAATACACAGAGAGAGACATACATTCATCAATACACAGAGAGAGTCATACATTAATCAATACACAGAGAGAGACATACATTAATCAATACCAGAAGAGAGACAATACACTACCAGTCAAAAGTTTTGGGAAAAACACCTAATCGTTGAAGGGTTTTTCTTTATTTTTACTATTTTCTACATTGTAGAACAATAGTGAAGACATCAAAACTATGAAATAACACATATGGAATCATGTAGTAACCAAAAAAGTGTTCAACAAATCAAAATATATTTTATATTTGAGGTTCTTCAAAATAGCCACCCTTGATGACAGCTTTGCACACTCTTGGCATTCTCTCAACCAGCTTCACCTGGAATGCTTTTCCAACAGTCTTGAAGGACTTCCCACATATGCTGAGCACTTGTTGGCTGCTTTTCCTTCACTCTGCAGTCCAACTCATCCCAAACCATCTCAATTGGGTTGAGGTCGGGGGATTGTGGAGGCCAGGTCATCTGATGCAGCACTCCATCACTCTCCTTCTTGGTAAAATAGCCCTTACACAGCCTGGAGGTGTGTTGGGTTATTGTCCTGTTGAAAAACAAATGATAGTCCCACTAAGCCCAAACCAGATGGGATGGCGTATCGCTGCAGAATGCTGTGGTAGCTATGCTGGTTAAGTGTGCCTTTTAATTCTAAATATATCACTGACAGTGTCACCAGCAAAGCATCCCCACACCATAACACCTCCTCCTCCATGCTTTACGGTGGGAAATACACATGCGGAGATCATCCGTTCACCCACACCGCGTCTCACAAAGAAACGGTGGATGGAACCAAAAATCTCCAATTTGGACTCCAGACCAAAGGACACATTTCCACCGGTCTAATGTCCATTGCTCGTGTTTCTTGGCCCAAGCAAGTCTCTTCTTCTTATTGGTGTCCTTTAGTAGTGGTTTCTTTGCAGCAATTCAACCATGAAGGTCTGATTCACACAGTCCCCTCTGAACAGTTGATGTTGAGATGTGTCTATGACCTGAACTCTGTGAAGCATTTATTTGGGCTGCAATTTCTGAGGCTGGTAACTAATGAACTTATCCTCTGCAGCAGAGGTAACTCTGGGTCTTCCATTCCTGTGGCCGTCCTCATGAGAGCCAGTTTCATCATATCGCTTGATGTTTTTTGCGACTGCACTTGAAGAAACTTTCAAAGTTCTTGAAATGTTCCGTATTGACTGACCTTCAGGTCTTAAAGTAATGATGGACTGTCATTTCTCTTTGCTTATTTGAGCTGTTTGTTCTTGACATAATATGGACTTGGTCTTTTACCAAATAAGGCTATCTTCTGTATACCCCCCTACCTTGTCACAGCACAACTGATTGGCTCAAACACATTAAGAAGGAAAGACATTCCACAAATTAGCTTTTAACAAGGCACACCTGTTAATTGTAATGCATTCCAGGTGACTACCTCATGAAGCTGGTTGAGAGAATGCCAAGAGTGTGCAAAGCTGTCATCAAGGCAAAGGGTGGCTATTTGAAGAATCTCAAATATAAAATATATTTTGATTTATTTTGATTTGTTGATCACTTTTTTGGTTACTACATGATTCCATATGTGTTATTTCATAGTTTTGATTTCTTCACTATTATTCTACAATGTAGAAAATAGTAAAAATAAAGAAAAACCCTTGAATGAGTAGGTGTTCAAACTTTTGACTGGTACTGTACATTACACAATACACAGAGTCATACAGAGGGTCCTCATTTAAAAGTTGCACAGCTTGCAGGATGCTGTGGTGTGGTACAGCATGTTACAGTGCATGACCCTATACGAAAGAGCCTATGCTGTATCCGAAAGAGCCTATACCCTATCCGACCAGTCGGGAGTAGAACTAGGTTACTAAGTGACCGGTCGGGAGTAGGACTAGGTTACTAAGTGACTGTGAGTGAAGAGCAAAATAATCCTAACATTTCCACACCCTAATTGTAGGCTAACCAATACCCAAATGGAGATTCAGTGAAAATAAAAATCTGATTGATTTATCAACACCAGTCCCCAAGCTTGTCTCAAAGCAGTGCGAAACGGTGCTGAAATAGTTGACCAACATTGCTTCAAATCCACAGCGTTGTTGTGTACTGACAGTACAGTGCACTTTCACTCCATTCCCCCCCTGACTCTCTACCAAGGCCACAGCGTTGTTGACTTTGGGTGTTTCAGTAAGCAACAATTGCATTAGCCTACTTTATTCCAATATTTCTGTCATTCAGTGATATTTATTCCCAGAGTAATTCTTTATGGATCCATCCAGATGTGGTTAGAAAACAGTGCATGTTGTGGGCTATACAAAGAGATGGGTGAAGTTACATGCCTCGCAAACATCCATTAATACATTTAAAGTCCCTAAACTCAGCAATAGTCTACAGTGGGGAGAACAGGTATTTGATACACTGCCGATTTTGCAGGTTTTCCTACTTACAAAGCATGTAGAGGTCTATAATTTTTATCATAGGTACACTTCAACTCCAGAAAATCACATTGTATGATTTTTAAGTAATTAATTTGCATGACATAAGTATTTGATCACCTACCAACCAGTAAGAATTCCGGCTCTCACAGACCTGTTAGTTTTTCTTTAAGAAGCCCTCCTGTTCTCTACTCATTACCAGTATTAACTGCACCTGTTTGAACTTGTTACCTGTATAAAAGACACCTGTCCACACACTCAATCAAACAGACTCCAACCTCTCCACAATGGCCAAGACCAGAGAGCTGTGTAAGGACATCAGAGATAAAATTGTAGACCTGCACAAGGCTGGGATGGGCTACGGGACAATAGGCAAGCAGCTTGGTGAGAAGGCAACAACTGTTGGCACAATTCTTAGAAAATGGAAGAAGTTCAAGATGACGGTCAATCACCCTCGGTCTGGGGCTTCATGCAAGATCTCACCTCGTGGGGCATCAATGATCATGAAGAAGGTGAGGGATCAGCCCAGAACTACACGGCAGGACCTGGTCAATGACCTGAAGAGAGCTGGGACCACAGTCTCAAAGAAAACCATTAGTAACACACTACGCCGTCATGGATTAAAATCCTGCAGCGCACGCAATGTCCCCCCTGCTCAAGCCAGCGCATGTCCAGGCCCGTCTGAAGTTTGCCAGTGACCATCCGAATGATCCAGAGGAGGAATGGGAGAAGGTCATGTGGTCTGATGAGACAAAAATAGAGCTTTTTGGTCTAAACTCCACTCGCCGTGTTTGGAGGAAGAAGAAGGATGAGTACAACCCCAAGAACACCATCCCAACCGTGAAGCATGGAGGTGGAAACATCATTCTTTGGGGATGCTTTTCTGCAAAGGGGACAGGACGACCGCACCGTATTGAGGGGAGGATGGATGTGGCCATGTATCGCGAGATCTTGGCCAACAACCTCCTTCCCTCAGTAAGAGCATTGAAGATGGGTCGTGGCTGGGTCTTCCAGCATGACAACGACCCGAAACACACAGCCAGGGCAACTAAGGAGTGGCTCCGTAAGAAGCATCTCAAGGTCGGTCCTGTAGTGGCCTAGCCAGTCTCCAGACCTGAACCCAATAGAAAATCTTTGGAGGGAGCTGAAAGTCCATATTGCCCAGCGACAGCCCCGAAACCTGAAGGATCTGGAGAAGGTCTGTATGGAGGAGTGGGCCAAAATCCCTGCTGCAGTGTGTGCAAACCTGGTCAAGACCTACAGGAAACGTATGATCTCTGTAATTGCAAACAAAGGTTTCTGTACCAAATATTAAGTTCTGCTTTTCTGATGTATCAAATACTTATGTCATGCAATAAAATGCAAATTAATTACTTATAAATCATACAATGTGATTTTCTGGATTTTTGTTTTAGATTCCGTCTCTCACAGTTGAAGTGTACCTATGATACAAATGACAGACCTCTACATGCTTTGTAAGTAGGAAAACCTGCAAAATCGGCAGTGTATCAAATACTCCCTACTGTATTGTCCTGCTGATAGCCCACCAAGGGTGGATGGCTTCTTTTGTATTCCAATGTATTGGAAAGGCTGTTAAACCATTTCCACCTGGCCCAAAATAAAATACAAAATAAAAATACATAACAATAATAAACACTCAAATAGGCAACAGAAGCAGGAACAGAAGCAGGAACAGAAGCAGGAACAGAAGCATAGTGCTGAGTGACTCTCTCATTCCTGGCTTTCATTCAAAATAAGTTATATTATAATGCAGGGTTAAAGACACATTCTGATTGTCTTTAGCATGCAGTCTCTCCTCTCGCTACAGCTCATTTCGTTTGAATTATTATGTGATTATAATAAATTGACATATTTGTAGGGGTTGATGCATTTTTCTTTAGGGCAAACCAAGTCTGTGATATTGAGTTAGAAATGTAAAACTTTAGAGGACTTAGGCCTCGAATACATAAATACACTGCAAGTTTTGCACTTTACAAGGACTCAACTCTGACTGACCGCAGCATCTATCAGTAGTCTAAACTGTGGCACAAATTAGGGGATTTTTCACACCTAGCTGAGCTGTTAGACTATGAATGGAGGTGCAGAGAGAGAGAAGAGAAGCCAGCTTGCGACCAGCCACGGTGGATGACATCCTTTTCCTGCACAGGAATTTGAAGAAATCCAGTGATGAATGGACTGTTTTTGAAGTTATTGTTTTAGTATATTTATTTGTTGTCTAATATTACAAGGCTCTTTAAAGCGATTTGAGTTGTCAATGTGCCTCATTGCATTGTGCAAAAATAAATATATCACTCTTAATTCATGGGATGGTTTATTTTTAGCCAGATGTTGAAAAGACATGCAGACAAATTAATTAATGCAGGAAAAGAGGACTAACAGCCTATTGTCTGTAGTCATGACAACAATTAGACTAAATAAATTGATGTTATTTTGTTGGGTAACGGATCGGCTCTCGGAACTCATTAAGAGGCGCCTTCTATCTTCAATATAATCATTCATTCAGAAGGTTAAACCCATAGGTCTTAGGCCTGCAGTAACTTAAATTAGGTTCCCAGGTTCATTTTTCATTAGGTTATAATAATCCATGCCTTCTGGGAATGTTATAAAGGCCCAAAGTTATGGGCGGAGTCAGAAAGTTGGCTGGAAACGTTTAATCCGTCTGTCCGCATATTTCAAGACATGGCATATTGGGGTGCAGTGAGATACCCGATGGGTTGGACCATACTTTTCTCCTCAATCATCTTGAAAAAACGTAGACTTAAAAACTGAAAATCAACTAATGTCAGCCTTTAAATGCTTTTATTTTCCAAATGTTGAAAGTGCGTGGGCAACAGAGAGAAACAAAATGGTGCAGTTTGAGGCCTTGTGCCCCTTTGTAGCTCAGTTGGTAGAGCATGGTGCTTGCAACACCAGTATGAAAATGTATGAAGTCACTCTGGATAAGAGCATCTGCTTAATGACTAAAATGTAAAGGTAATGTGGCGGAGAGTGAGGTGTGGGTCTGGGCAGGTGTGATGTAGTGGATCTGGAGATAGGGGGTGTGAGCAGGTGGGTCTGGGCAGGTGGGTCTGGGCAGGTGTGACTAGCAGAAAGAATGTTGGTACTTATTTATTTTGATCCAAAGCCACGAATGAGTGAGTCACACTGTCACGAATTCCTCCGAAGCTGCTTCCTCTCCTTGTTCGGGCTTCGGCGTTCGTCGTCACCGGCCTTCTAGCCACTGCCGCTCCTCATCTCATCATTCCATTGGCTTTGTCTTGTTGATTACACACACCTGGTTCATATCCCCTCATCAGTACCTGTATAAGTGTTCCCTCTCCCCCCCTTGTCCTTGTGGGTGATTGTTCATTGTGAGAATTAGTAGCTTGGTTGAGCTCAGTATTTTGTATCGCCAGGGTATTTCCCCTGTGTGCATGTTTGTTCCAGTGCGCCTGTTTTACCTCTGGACTGGTTACGCTGTCCTACGGAATAAACTCTGTATTCTGTGATTTACCCTCCTGCGCCTGACTCCTTCAACACCACCTCATCACAATGTGACTAATAAACAGTTCTGCGTAAACCTGTATTTTGCGGATTAAAGCCTGTTATTCTGTGATTTACCCTCCTGCGCCTGACTCCTTCAAATCACGCATCACACACTCAGCTTTATTCTGACAAATATAACTTTATGCTGCAAAAATAGCCTACTAAATAAGCTAAGCCTAAATGAATATATTAAATAGCCTATATATCCCCCTACCCCACCAAAAAATGTTTAATAAAAATAGCCTTCCCTGTCCTCCCTGTCCTCCCTGTCCACCCTGTCCCCCCTGTCCCCCCTGCTCCTGTCCTCCTGTCTAGCTGTCCCCCTGTCCTGCCCTGTCCCCCTGTCCCCTCCCTGTCCCCCTGCCCTGTCCCCCTGTCCTCCCTGTCCCCCTGCCCCTGCCCTCCTGTCCCCTCCTCCCTGTCCCCCTGTCCCCCTGTCCTCCCTGTCCCCCTGTCCCTCCCTGTCCTCCCTGTCCTCCCTGTCCTCCCTGTCCTCCCCTGTCCCCCTGTCCTTCCCTGTCCTCCCTGTCCCCCTGTCCCCCTGTCCTCCCTGTCCTCCCCTGTCCTCCGTCCCCCTGTCCCTCCCTGTCTCCCTGTCCTCCTGTCCCTCCCTGTCCTCCCCTGTCCCCCCTGTCCCCCCTGTCCCCCCTGTCCCCCTCCCTCCCTGTCCTCCCTGTCCTCCCTGTCCCCCTGTCCCCTTCCCCCTGTCCACCCTGTCCTCCCTGTCCTCCTGTCCCCCTGCCCCTCCGTCCCCCTGTCTCCCCCTGTCCCCCCTGTCCCTCCTGTCCTCCCTGTCCACCCTGTCCTCCCTGTCCTCCCTGTCCCCCTGTCCCCCCTGTCCTCCCTGTCCCCCCTGTCCCCCTGTCCTCCCTGTCCCCCCTGTCCCCCCCTGTCCTCCCTGTCCCCCCTGTCCTCCCTGTCCTCCCTGTCCCCCCTGTCCTCCCTGTCCCCCCTGTCCCCCTGTCCTCCCTGTCCACCCTGTCCTCCCTGTCCCCCCTGTCCTTCCTGTCCACCCTGTCCTTCCTGTCCCCCCTGTCCTCCCTGTCCACCCTGTCCTCCCTGTCCTCCCTGTCCTCACTGGACTCTTTCATTCAGTTTCTTCTTCCCATCAGTAAAGAAGGACTCCGTGTTTCAGAAACTCACTTTATATATTGAGCGGCTGTCACTCTTTCACACTGTGGTAAATAAAGCCAGTTTGTTATTTAGAATGATTTCTGCCTGGTCACAGGCTGTCAGCTGGCCTGTCTCTGACACCACACATCCATCTGTAGGTGACGCCACACTGTCCCCTGGTGGACAGCAGGCATCTTGAAGAGACAGAGCCACAAGTATTCTTTCACAATAGTTGGCCTTGTGTTATCTGCAGTTTTGAGCTGCTCTGTCCCACTCCGTGCTGCTCTGTCCCACTCCACTATTCCTTTATGTAATGGGCTGTAAAGCACAAGTATCCTCTTTTTCAAAAATCGTCAGTCCACATGCAAGTGTAATTGAGCATTTTATTTACCCAAGTTCTCTCTCAATTCCAGGACCACCGCCAGCTATTTATTTATTGCCTGAAGCAGGACACTAGTGCCAGAGGAGAGAGACTCGGACTGAAACATTCACACCTCCATTCATCTACAAAAGGATAGTCTAATTGCTCGGCTAGGTGTGAAAAACCCTCCAATTTGTGCCACAGTTTAGACTACCGATAGATCAGCGTTCTATCTCCCCCTTGTGGTAGTGTGGTGCAATGACAGAATGACACAATCTGCCACCATCTACCACAAACTGTCACAGCATAAGATCAAAACTTTTAATTGAGGAACCACTGTACATTACTCAATACACAGAGACAGACATACATTACTCAACACACAGAGAGACATATAGTACTCACACAGAGAGACATACAGTACTCACACAGAGAGACATACATTACTCACACAGAGAGACATACAGTACTCACACAGAGAGACATACAGTACTCACACAGAGAGACATACAGTACTCAATACACAGAGAGACATACAGTACTCAATACACAGACAGACATACATTACTCACACAGAGACATACAGTACTCACACAGAGAGACATACAGTACTCACACAGAGAGACATACATTACTCAACACACAGAGAGACATACAGTACTCACACAGAGAGACATACAGTACTCACACAGAGAGACATACAGTACTCACACAGAGAGACATACAGTACTCACACAGAGAGACATACATTACTCACAGAGACATACAGTACTCACAGAGAGAGACATACAGTACTCACAGAGAGAGACATACAGTACTCACACAGAGACATACAGTACTCACACAGAGAGACATACAGTACTCACACAGAGAGACATACATTACTCAACACACAGAGAGACATACAGTACTCACACAGAGAGACATACAGTACTCACACAGTGAGACATACAGTACTCACACAGAGAGACATACAGTACTCACACAGAGACATACAGTACTCACACAGAGAGACATACAGTACTCAATACACAGAGAGACATACAGTACTCAATACACAGAGATACATACAGTACTCACACAGAGAGACATACAGTACTCACACAGAGAGACATACAGTACTCACACAGAGAGACATACAGTACTCAATACACAGAGAGACATACAGTACTCACACAGAGAGACATACAGTACTCACACAGAGAGACATACAGTACTCACACAGAGAGACATACAGTACTCACAGAGAGAGACATACAGTACTCACACAGAGAGACATACAGTACTCAATACACAGAGAGACATACAGTACTCACACAGAGAGACATACAGTACTCACACAGAGAGACATACAGTACTCACACAGAGAGACATACAGTACTCACACAGAAAGACATACAGTACTCACACAGAGAGACATACAGTACTCAATACACAGAGAGACATACAGTACTCACACAGAGAGACATACAGTACTCACACAGAGAGACATACAGTACTCACACAGAGAGACATACAGTACTCACAGAGAGACATACAGTACTCACACAGAGAGACATACAGTACTCACACAGAGAGACATACAGTACTCACAGAGAGAGACATACAGTACTCAATACACAGAGAGACATACAGTACTCACACAGAGAGACATACAGTACTCACACAGAGAGACATACAGTACTCACACAGAGAGACATACAGTACTCACACAGAGAGACATACAGTACTCAATACACAGAGAGACATACAGTACTCACACAGAGAGACATACAGTACTCACACAGAGGGAATAAGGTAGGTTTAGAGTACTGTACCTCCAGTCCAGGATGGTTCTAGTGAAATAGCGGAGATACTTGAAGATGGCCATGGAGTCCTGAAGCTTCAGGAACTCTTCCTCCTTGTACTTGAAGAGAGCGAGGGCGAAACGGAAGATGATCTGAGGAGAGGCAGAGGCATGAAACTCACCGTACGATGACACCTGAGTCAGATTCCTATCAAACACTAACGCTAAGACTGTTACAAGTCTTTAGAGTCTGGTTCCTCTCTAGGTTCTTCCTGTCTTCTAGGGAGTTTCTCCTAGCCACCATGCTTCTGCATCTGCATTGCTGCTCTTTGGGGTTTTAGGCTGGGTTTCTGTAAAGCACTTTGTTACTTTTTCTGTGACTCTGCTGATGTCAAAAACACTTTATAAAATACATTTGATTGATTGATTGATTGATTGATTGATCATGTTACTGGAGTTCTCAATGGATCTCCATATAAAGTAGCAATGATGACTTTTACAGACATATAGGATCAATATGAGAAAAGTCTGAACATGAACAAACAGCATGCCACAGCTTATATCAAAGCTGGTATCAATGCCTTGTCCTGATCTGGTAGAGACAGGCACTTGGCTAAGTGATGTGGGGCGCCAGCAGTTCCTCCTCGTTTCAGCTCTGAGGTTTGTTGTGTCACAGTTAAAAAGGGACTTTCCATGAGGCTGGGATTCCATCCTACCTGTTAACCATCCTACCATCCTACCGTCTTAACCATCCTACCCTGTTAACCAGTCCTACCATCCCCTTAACCACCTACCTGTAACCAGCCTACCTCCTACCCTGTTAACCATCCTACCCTCTTAACCATCCTACCCTCTTAACATCCTACCCTCTTAACCATCCTACCCTGTTAACCAGTCCTACCATCCTACCCTGTTAACCATCCTACCATCCTACCCTCTTAACCATCCTACCCTGTTAACCATCCTACCCTCTTAACCATCCTACCCTCTTAACCATCCTACCCTCTTAACCATCCTACCCTGTTAACCAGTCCTACCATCCTACCCTGTTAACCATCCTACCATCCTACCCTCTTAACCATCCTACCTCCTCTTAATCCTATCCTACCCTCTCTCTCAACTCCTACCCTGTTAACCAGTCCTACCATCCTTACCTGTTAACCATCCTACCATCCTACCTCTAAACATCCTACCCTGTTAACCATCCTACCCTGTTAACCATCCACATCCTACCCTTAACCATCCTACCTCTTAAAAGACCCTACCCTTAGAACATCCTACCCTGTTAACCATCCTACCCTGTTAACCATCCTACCCTGTTAACCATCCACCACCTGCCTTTAACCATCCTACCCTCTTACATCCTACCTGTTAACCAGTCCTACCATCCTACCCTGTTACATCTACCATCCTACCCTCTTAACCATCCTACCCTCTTAACCATCCTACCCTCTTAACCATCCTACCCTGTTAACCATCCTACCATCCTACCCTCTTAACCATCCTACCCTGTTAACCAGTCCTACCATCCTACCCTCTTAACCATCCTACCCTGTTAACCAGTCCTACCATCCTACCCTGTTAACCAGTCCTACCATCCTACCCTGTTAACCAGGCCTATCATCCTACCATGTTAACCAGTCCTATCATCCTACCCTGTTAACCATACTCCCATCCTACCCTGTTAACCAGGCCTATCATCCTACCCTGTTAACCATACTCCCATCCTACCCTGTTAACCAGTCCTATCATCCTACCCTGTTAACCATACTCCCATTCTACCCTGTTAACCATCCTACCATTCTACCCTGTTAACCATTCTACCCTGTTAACCATTCTACCATGTTATCCAGCCTACCTTTGGTCCCTCGTACAGGAAGGCATCCCAAATCTTGAAGAGGAGGTCAGAGTTCACTGAGTCTACGAAGAGGACCAGGAACCAGTTGAAGGTAATGAGGGAGGAGTCGACCTTGTAGAGGTCAAAGTGGGCGTGGAGTCGGGGCAGCTTCTCACTCAGCAGGTCCTTAAAAACACGCTGGTCCACCTAGAGGTCAGAGATCATACAGGGGTCACCTCAGTCCCTAACCCCCAACCCTAAATCAGCAGGTCCTCGAACACTCGCTGGTCCTCAGAGAGGACAGAGAACATACAGGGGTCACCTCAGTCCCTAACCCCCAACCCTAAGTCAGCAGGTCCTCGAACACTCGCTGGTCCTCAGAGAGGACAGACAGAGAGGACATACAGGGAGGACAGACAGAGAGGACAGACAGAGAGGACATACAGGTAGGGACGTCAAACGTTCAGCCAGCTGCACAGACCCTCTGGACGCTCTGGTGTAGTGGTTAAATTGTGCTTAGGAGCATTTTTAAACTCTCTCCATGGTTAAAGTAGGAAGAAGTAATGTCATTGTTGTAAAAATGTGTGAGTGTGCTACATTTATACAAATATTGAATTACTTTGACTTTTTTAAATTATGTTATATTGCACAAATTACCCAAATTACCCTGGTGGACTCAAGGTGTTACTACATTACACAGACTGACGGTCTAACCACACAGGAATTACAGGAAATACCCATCCTTTGATGTTTTATACATTTGACATTTTAGTCATTTAGCAGACGCTCTTATCCAGAAAGACTTACATGAACTATTAGGGTTAAGTGCCTTGCTTAAGGGCACAGACAGATTTTTCACCTAGTCGTCTCGGGGATTAGAACCAGCGACCTTTCGGTTACTGGCACAACGCTCTTACCCACTAAGCTACCTGGCGCCCTAGGTGTATAGTCATCACAATCTCACAAAATCGATTGCTTAAAACAGATCAATATTTTCGGTTTAGTACCAGTGTTTCTGTCAGTCCGTAGTGGGGCTTTAGAACGGAACTGTAATTTTCAGACCGGCAGGAAAAACATGGGCGCTCCTCCTACAAAATGTCTCTGGCCTCACATGAATTCTTGGACTTGAGAGTTACACCATCATTGAAATGAAAGCCAACCCCTGTCGCTATTTAGAAACAGATGTGAGGTGGTGATTTGTTGAAATTATCCAGTCAAAAAAGTGTTGCGTTCCCTTATTAACCATCTACCAAAATCATCATTTTCCCACAGAGTTGCTAAATGTTTCCGACAGGTTGTCATCTATCGACAGATATATGCAGTACACCCGAGCTCATTGAGGTTTGTCTGTTAGAAGACGGTACATGTCGCCGCGGTTACTGTCCAAGTTCCATTGATCGACAATATCGACGTGAGTGATTCATTTGCGCACGCTATTGATGACAGTAGAAAACAAGCTAATTAATTCCAGTCTGGAGTGGCCGCTTGGTAAATATTGGTCCGTGTGCGGTTTAGCAAAATAGAATCTGAACACACGTGTGACACGTGTGTAGGGATTAACTTTTGTATTGGTCTTCAACATATCACAATTTATTACAGCATATTGATTATGAATTTGGACATTTATAACTGCTGTTTTAACATTCGGCAATAAATCAAAAATACATGATAACAGGAAGCATCAACAGTATGATTTTCAATGTATGTTTTAGGAATATATACAGTGAGGGAAAAAAGTATTTGATCCCCTGCTGATTTTGTAGATTTTTTGTAGATTTTGTCGCTAGAGTGCAATGGGACAAGGAAATCCCGGTCGGCCAAACCCTCACCTAACCCGGACGACGCTGGGCCAATTGTGCGCTGTCTCATGGGTCTCCCGGTCACGGCTGGCTGTGACACAGCCTGGGATCGAACCCGGGTCTGTATTTGACGCCTCAAGCACTGCGAAGCAGTGCCTTAGACCGCTGTGCCACTCGGGAGGCCCATAAATGGTACTTTTAACATTTTTCAACAGGATTCTACTTTATCAGGTAAAAAATACTGAATGAGCCCAAAAATGTGATATGATTTATTTAATCTGATGATATTAGTGAAATCGTGAAAATATGTTTGTCCTGGCTAATACAGGTGTGGGTCAGTTCAACCTCTAAAGCCCAGTTCGCATCTAACAGACAGACGAGACGGATTTATGTAGTTTTAGAAAATACGTTTGCTTGATCTTAAGGGTCTAGTTTTAGAACGTCGGCTACTGGAAAAATTCAACGTCATAGTGTGTCGTGTTTCTGATGCATGTATTTCATTAAACTCATTTCCTACAATACCTTGCTACAACAACTGACAAACAACTTTATTTCAAAGTTTCACCACATCATTGTTAAGAGGCACTGTTACTGGGGAAACGGTCTCAACTGCGCTTCTTGTCCAGTATTCAGTCAGCTGTTTTACAACACAAAATTCTAAAACTGTCTAGTTGTCTCGTCTCGGCTGTTGTATCTGAACCGGGCCTAACCCTAACCCTGGTAGTTAGTTAATAAACCCGATGTGAAACATGATAACCATAGTATCCTTAACTAGCATTGAAAAAGTCAATCCATTCTTGTCTAATTTCTGAATGATGCTTGTAACGTGGTCAGTAGGCTACAGTAAGCCATGCTTCACAGGGGGGGGGCAGGTGGTCAGTAGACTACAGTAAGCCATGCTTCACAGGGGGGGGGGGGGGCAGGTGGTCAGTAGGCTACAGTAAGCCATGCTTCACAGGGGATGGGGCAGGTGGTCGTAGACTACAGTAAGCCATGCTTCACAGGGGGAGGGGAGGGGCCGTGGTCAGTAGGCCTACAGTAAGCCATGCTTCACAGGGGAGGGGAGGGGCAGGTGGTCAGTAGGCTACAGTAAGCCATGCTTCACAGGGGGGGGGCAGGTGGTCAGTAGACTACAGTAAGCCATGCTTCACAGGGGAGGGGAGGGGCAGGTGGTCAGTAGGCTACAGTAAGCCATGCTTCACAGGGGAGGTGGAGGGGCAGGGTGGTCAGTAGGCTACAGTAAGCCATGCTCTTCACAGGGGAGGGGGGGGGGCAGGTGGGTCGTAGGCTACAGTAAGCCAAGCCTCACATGGGGGGGGGGGAGGTGGTCAGTAGCTCAGTAAGCCATGCTTTCACAGGGGGGGGGGGGGGGGGGGGGTGCATGTGGTCATTAACTACAGTAAGCCATGCTTCACAGGGGAGGGGCAGGTGGTCATAGCTACAGTAAGCCATGCTTCCAGGGGAAGGGGGGGGGGGCAGGTGGTCAGTATACGACAGTAAGCCATAGCTTCCACAGGGTAGGGGCGGTGGTCAGTATGCTCAGTAAGCCATGCTTCCAAAGTGGAGGTGGGGGGGGGGGGCCAGGTGGTCAGTATTCTACAGTAAGCCAGACCAAAAAAAGGGGGACCAAGCAGGAGTACCGGCGCAAAAAGGGCTAAGATGCTTCAACAGGGGTAGGTTTTAGGGCAGGTTGTCAGTAGGTACCGTAAGCCATTGGCTTCCACATGGTAGGTGCAGGTGGTCATTAGGCTATCTGTAAGCCATGCTTCATAGGGAGGGGGGGGGCTTGGTCAGTAGACTACTTAAGCCATGCTTTCACAGGGGAGGGGTAAACAGGTGGTCCAGTAGGCTACGTAGGCCATGCTTTCAAAGGGAGTGTCCTTGGGCAGTAAGGTACAGTAAGCCATGCTTCAAAAGGGGAGGGGGGATGAGTGGTCAGTAGGCTACAGTTAAGCCCTGGTCACAGGGGAGGGGCAGGTGGTCAGGTAGGCTACATTAAGCCATGCTTCCCAGGGTATGGGGGGTGCATGTGGATCAGTAGACTAAGTAGGCCATGCTTCACGAGGGGAGGGGGGGGCAGGTGGTCAGTAGACTACAAGTAAGCCATGCTTACCAGGGGGGGGACAGGTGGTCATAACTACAGTAATCCATGCTTCAACAAGGGGAAGGGGCAGGTGGTCAGTAGGCTACAGTAAGCCATGCTTCACAGGGGAGGGGCAGGTGGTCAGTAGGCTACAGTACGCCATGCTTCACAGGGGAGGGGGTGGCATGTTGTCAGTAGGCTACGTAACCATGCTTCACAGGGGAGGGGCAGGTGGTCAGTAGTCTACCGTAAGCCTCTTCCAGGGAGGGGGGGGCAAGCGGGTCAGTAGGCTACAGTAAGCCATGACTTCCAGGGGATGGGGGGGTGGCAGTGGTCACAGTAGGGCTACAGTAAGCCATGCTTCACATGGGAGGGGGGGGCAGTTGGCAGTAGGCTACAGTAAAGCCGTGCTTCAACAGGGGGGGGGCAGGTGGTCATGTAGCTACATAGCCATGCTTCAACAGGGAGGGGGGGGGCAGTGGTCAGTAGGCTCAGTAAGCCATCTTCACAGGGAGGGGGGGGGCCGTGGGTCATAGGCTAGTCGTAAGCCATGCTTCACAGGGGGGGGGCAGGTGGTCCAGTAGGCTACATTACCATGCTCACAGGGGAGGGGAGGGGCCGTTGTCAGTATGCTACAGTAAGCCATGCTTCACAGGGGAGGGGGGGGGTGGCGGTGGTCAGTAGTCTAGCGTAAGCCCATGCTTCATCATGGTAGGGGCAGGTGGTCAGTAGGCCTACAGTAGCCATGCTTCACAGGGGAGTGGGGGGCAGGTGGTCATTAGGTTACAGTAAGTCCTGCTTCACAGGGAGGGCAGGTGGTCAGTGGCTACGTAAGCATGCTTCACAGGGGATGGGGGGCAAGGTGGGGTCAGTAGCTACAGTAAGCCTGCTTCACAAGGGGGTGGGGGGGGGCAGTGTATCAGTAGGCTACAGTAAGCCATGCTTCACAGGGGAGGGGGGGGCAGGTGGTCAGTAGGCTACAGTAAGCCATGCTTCACAGTGGGGGGGGGGCAGGTGGTCAAGTAGGCTCCAGTAAGCCTGCTTCACAGGGAGGGGGGGGCAGGTGTCAGTAGCTACAGTAAGCCTGCTTCAACCGGGTAGGGGTTGGCAGGTGGGTCAGTAGGCTACAGTAAGCCATGCTTCACAGGGGGGGGGCAGTGGTCAGTAGGCTACGTAAGCCATGCTTCCCATGGGGGGAGGGCAGGTGGTCAGTAGGCTAACATTCACCATGCTTCAAAGGGGAGGGGGGGGGGGGGGGGGCAGGTGGTCAGTAGGCTCGTAACCTGCTTCACAGGGGAGGGGGGGGGGCAGTGGTCAGTAGGCTACAGTAAGCCATGCTTCCAGGTGAGGGCAGAGGTGGTCAGTATCCCTACAGTAAGCCATGCTTCACAGGGGAGGGGGGTGCAGTTGGTCAGTAGGCTACAGTAAGCCTTCTTCACAGGGGAGGGTCAGGTGGGGTCATAGGCTACAGTAGCCAGGCTTCCGGGAGGGGGGGGCAGGTGTCAGTAGGCTACAGTAAGCCATGCTCCCAGGGGGGGGGCAGGTGGTCAGTAGGCTACATAAGCCATGCTTCGACAGGTGGGGGGGGCAGGTGTCATTAGGCTACAGTAACCATGCTTCACAGGGGGGTGGGGGCAGTGTTCAGTAGGCTACAGTAAGCCATGCTTCACAGGGGGGTGGGGCAGGTGGTCAGTAGGACAGTAAGCCATGCTTCACATGGGAGGGGTGGGCAGTGGTCAGTAGACTACAGTAAGCCATTCTTCCAGGGGAGGGGGGGGCAGGTGGGTCAGTAGGCTTACAGTAAGCCATGCTTCCAGGAGGGTGGGCATGTGGTCAGTATGCTACAGTAAGCCAATGCTTCACAGGGGGGGGGGGCAGGTGGTCATTAGCTACGTATCCATGCTCCAGGGGAGGGGGGGGCAGGTGGTCAGTAGCTCAGTAGCCATGCTTCACAGGGGAGGGGAGGGCGGTGGTCAGTAGGCTACAGTAAGCCTGCTTTCACAGGGGGGGTCAGGTGGTCAGTAGGCCTACTAAGCCATGCTTCACAGGGGGGGGGGGCAGGTGGTCAGTAGGCTACGTAAGCATTCTTACGTGATTGGAGGGGCAGGTGGTCAGGAGGCTACAGTAGCCATGCTTCCACAGGGGGGGGGCAGGTGGGTCAGTAGGCTCAGTAAGCCATGCTTCACCTGGGAGGGGCAGGGGTCATTAGGCTACATTAGCCAGCTTCACATGGGGGGGGGGGGCAGTGGTCAGTAGGCTACATAAGCCAGCTTCACAGGGGAGTGGGGGGGCAGGTGGTCGTATGCTACAGTAAGCCATGCTTCACAGGGGAGGGGGGGGCAGGTGGTCATTGTCTACAGTAAAGCCATTTCAACGGGAGTGGCATGTGTCCAGATAGGCTACAGTAAGCCATGCTTCACAGGGGAGGCAGGTGTCAAGTAGGCTACAGTAAAGCCCATGCTTCACAGGGAGGGAGGGGCGGTGGTCAGTAGGCTACAGTCACCATGCTTCCACTTGGAGGGCGGTGGTCAGTAGGCTACAGTAAGCCATGCTTCCGGGAGGGGGGGCATTGGGGGGGGTGGTGGGGGGAGGTGGTCAGTAGGCTACAGTAAGCCATGCTTCACAGGGGGGGGGGCGCAGGTGGTCAGTCAGGCTCATAAAGCCATGCTCACGGGGGGGGGGGCAGGTGGTCCTTAGCTAACATTAAGCCATCTTCCACAGGGAGGGGGGGCAGGTGGTCAGTAGGCTACAGTAAGCCATGCTTCACAGGGGGGGGGGGGGGGGCGGTGGTCAGTATGCTAACAGTAATCGCATGCTTACAGGGGGGGGGGGGCAAGGTGGTCAGTAGGCATACATAAGCCATGCTGTCGAAAACAGGGGGGGGGGGTCCAGGTGGTCAAGTAGGCTACAGTAAGCCATGCTTCACGGGGGGGGGGGGTCAGTGGTCAGTAGCTACAGTAAGCCATGCTTCACAGGGGAGTGGAGGGGACAGGTGGTCATTAGGCTACAGTAAGCCATGCTTCACAGGGGAGGGGGGGCATGTGTTCCTTAGGCCCCTACAGTAAGCCATGCTTCACATGGGGGGGGGTGTGCAGGTGGTCAGTAGGCTACAGTACGCCATGCTTCCACAGGGGAGGGGGGTGTCAGGTGGTCGTAGGCTACCGTACACCTGCTCCAGGGGGGGGGGGGGGGGGGTGCAGGTGGTCAGTAGGCACAGTTAAGCCATGCTTCACAGTGGAGGGGGGGGGGGCAGTGGTCAGTAGTCTACAGTAAGCCATGCTTCCCAGGGGAGGGGGGGGGCAGGTTTCAGTAGGCTCCAGTAAGCTGCCTTCACAGGGGAGGGGCAGGTGGTCAGTAGGCTACAGTAAGCCATGCTTCACAGGGGGGGGGGGGCAGGTGGTCAGTAGGCTACAGTAAGCCATGCTTCACAGGGGAGGGGGAGGGCCCCCCCCCCCCCCCCCGCAGTGGTCAGTAGGCTATCCGTAGCCATGCTTCACAGGGGAGGGGGGTGCAGGTGGTCAGTAAGGCTAACAGTAAGCCATGCCTTCACAGGGGCGGGGGTGGCAGGTGGTCAGTAATAGCTACAGTAAGCCATTCTATCACAGGGGAGGGGGTGGCAGTTGGTCAGTAGGGCTACAGTAGCCATGTTCCAGGGGAGGGGCAGGTGTCAGTGGCACAGTAAGCCATGCTTCCCGGGGAGGGGCCAGGTGGTCAGTAGGCTACAGTACCATCTCACAGGGAGGGGCAGGTGGTCAGTAGGCTACAGTAAGCATGCTTCACAGGGATGGGGGGGGCAAGGTGTCGTCAGGCTACAGTAGCCATGCTTCAAACAGGGGGAGGGGGGGGCAGGTGGTCAGTAGGCTAAGTAAGCCATGCTTCACGGGGAGGGGCATGTGTCGTAGGCTACAGTAAGCCATGCTTCACAGGGGGGCAGGGGGTCAGTAGGCTACAGTAAGCATGCTTCACAGGGGAGGGGCAGGTGGTCATTATGCTACAGTAACCATAGCTTCAACAGGGGATGGGCATTGGTCCAGTATGCTACAGTGCCATGTCTTCAAGGGGAGGGGGGGCAGGTTGGTCAATTAGGCTACAGTAAGCCATGCTTCACAGTGGAGGGGGGGGCGGTGGTCGTATGGCTACATTAAGCCATGCTTCACAGGGGAGGGGGGGGGCAGGTGGTCATAGGCCTAACAGTAATCCATGTTTCACAGGGGGGGGGGGGGCAAGGTGGTCATTAGGCTACAGTAAGCCATGCTTCCACAGGGGAGGGGGGGGCAGTGGTCATGGCTACAGTAGCCATGCTTCACAGGGTAGGGGAGGGCAGGATGGTCCAGTAGGCTTACAGTAGAGCATGCTTCACAGGGGAGGGGGGGGCAGGTGGTCAGTAGGCTACAGTAAGCCATGCTTCACAGGGGGGGGGGGGGCAGGTGGTCAGGAGGCTACAGTAAGCCATGCTTCACAGGATGGGAGGGGCAGGTGGTCAGTATCTTACAGTAAGCATGCTTTCACGGGGGGGGGCAGTGGTCATAGGCTACAGTAAGCCATGCTTCAACAGGGGAGGGGCAGGTGGTCCAGTAGGCTACCGATAAGCCATTCTTTCCCAGGGGGGGGGGTCAGGTGCCAGTAGGCTACGTAGCCATCTCTCACAGGGAGGGGGGCGGGCAGTCATGTCACTGTTAGGCTACAGTAGCCATGCCTCCCAGGGGAGGGGGGGGGTGTCCAAGGATGTCATTAGGCCTACAGTAAGCCTGCTTCACAGGGGAAGGGGCAGGTGGTCGTAGGCTACAGTAGCCTGTGGCTCACAGGTGAGGGGGGGCAGGTGGTCAGTAGGCTACAGTAAGCCATGCTTCACAGGGGAGGGGCAGGTGGTAGTGGCTTAAAGGTAAGCCATGCTTCACAGTGGGGGGGGGGGCAGGTGGTCAGTAGGCTACAGTAAGCCATGCTCACAGGAGGGGCAGGTGGTCATTAGACACAGTAGCCATGCTTCACAGGGAGGGCAGGTGGTCAGTAGCTACGTAACCATGCTTCACAGGGGAGGGGCGGTGGTCAGTAGGCTACAGTAATCCTGCTTCACCGGGGAGGGGGGGGGCAGGTGGTCCCGGTGAGGCCTACAGTAAAGCCAATGCATTCACGGGAGGGGGGGGCGGTGGTCAGGTAGGCTAAAAAAAAAAAAAGAAAAAAAAAAACAGTAGCCATGCTTCACAGGTAGGGGGGGGCAGTTGGTCATTAGGCTACGTAAGCCATGCTTTCACAGTGAGGGGGGGGGGCAGGTGGTCAGTAGGCTTACAGTAAGCCATGCTTCACAGGTTGGGGGCAGGTGGTCACAGTAGGCTACATTAAGCCATGCTTCACAGGGGGGGGGGGAGGGGCAGTGTCAGTAGCTACAGTAAGCCATGCTTCACAGTGTGGGGGGGGCAGGTGGTCAGATATGCTAACAGTAAGCCCATGCTTCCACAGGGGTGGGGCAGGGTTGTCAGTAGGCTACAGTAAGCCCATGCTTCACAGGGGGGGGGCAGGTGGCAGTAGGCTACAGAATCCATGCTTCAAAGGGGAGGGGGGGGCAGAGTTGTCAGTAGGCTACAGTAAGCATGCTTCACAGGGGATGGGGGGGCAGGTGGTCATAGGCTACAGTAAGCCATGCTTCACAGGGGGGGCAGTTGGTCAGTAGGCTACAGTAAGGCCATGCTTCACCGGGGGTGGGGGAAGGGGCAGTGGTCAGTAGCCCTACAGTAGCATGCTTCCAGTGGGGGGGGGGGCAGGTGGTCCAGTAGGTATCAGTAAGCCATGGCTCACAGGGGGGGCAGTGGTCATTAGGCGCCATAAGCCATGCTTCCACAGTTGGGGGGGCAGGTGGTCAGTAGCTACAGTAAGCCATGCTTCACAGGGGGGGCAACGTGGTCAGTAGGCCCACAGTAAGCCATTCTTCACCGGGAGGGCAGGTTGGTCGTAACTACATAAGCATTCTTCACAAGGGTGTGGGGGGGCAGTGGTCAGTTAGAACTACGTCAGCCATGCTAGCACAGGGGAGGGGGGGGCAGGTGGTCATTAACACAGTAAGCCATGCTTCACAGGGAGGGGCCGTGGTCAGTAGGCTACAGATCCTGCTTCAACAGGGGAGGGGTGGGGGCAGGTGGTCAGTAGACTACAGTAAGCCATGCTTCACAGGGGAGGGGGGGGGCAGGTGGTCAGTAGACTACAAGTAAGGCCATGCTTCATCAGGGGAGGGGCAGGTGGTCATTAGGCTACAGTAAGCCCTTGCCTTCACAGGAGGGGGGGGGGTTCAGGTGGTCATTAGACTACAGTAGCATGCTTCCAGGGGAGGGGGGGGCAGGTGGTCAAGTATTCTACGTAAGCCTGCTTCACAGGGGAGGGGGGAGGCAGGTGGTCAGTAGGCCTTTTAACAAAGTTTACATGCTTCACAGGGGGGGGGGAGGCGTGGTCAGTATCCTACAGTACGCCATGCTTCACAAGGGAGGGGCAGGTGGTCAGTAGGCTAACAGTAAGCATGCTTCACAGGGGGGGGGCAGGTTGGTCAGTAGGCGAACAGTAAGCCCTGCTTCATAGCAGGGGGTGGGGGAGGGCGGTGGTCAGTAGTCTACAGTAGTCCTGCTTTCCAGGGGGGGGGCAGGTGGTCGTAGGCTACAGTAAGCCATGCCACAGGGGAGGGGGGGCAGGTGTCAGAGGCTACAGTAATCCATGCTCACAGGGGGGGGGGGGAAGGTGGCAGGTGTCAGTAGTCCTACATAAGCCCATTCTCACAGGGGGGGGGGCAGGTGTCAGTAGGCTACAGTAGCCATGCTTCACATGGGAGGGCAGGTGGTCAGTAGGCCTACGAGTAAGCCATGCTTCACAGGGAGGGGCAGTGGTCAGTAGGCTACATAATCCATGCTTCCACAGGGGAGGGGCAGGTGGTCAGTAGGCTACATTAAGCCGGCTTCACAGGGGAGGGGGTGGGCAGGTGATCAGTAGGCTACAGTAATCCGATGCTTTCACAGGGGATGGGGTGGGGCAGGTGTCATAGGCTACAGTAAGCCATGCTTCACAGGGGGGTGGGGGAGGGGCCGGTGGTCATGAGGCTACAGTAAGCACTGCTTCACAGGGGAGGGGCAGTGGTCCAGTATGGCTTACAGTAAAGCCTGCTTCACAGGGGTGGGGGGGCAGGTGGTCAGTAGGCCTACATAAGCCATGCTTCACCGGGGAGGGGCAGGTGGTCAGTAGGCCTACGTAAGCCTTCTTCACAGGGGGGGGCAGTGGTCAGTAGACTCCAGTATCCATGCTTCCAGGGGAGGGGGGCCGTTGGTCCGTAGGCTCAGTAAGCCATGCTTCACAGGGGAGGGGGGGGGCAGGTGGTCATAGGCTACCAGTAGCCATCTTCACAGGGGGGGGCGGGTGGGTCCGTAGGACTACGAGATCAGCCATGCTTCACGGGGGGGGGGGGGGGGGGGGCAGGTGGTCAGTAGGCTACAGTAAGCCATGCTTCACAGGGGGGGGGGAGGGGCCGGTGGTCAGTAGGCTACAGTAAGCCATGCTTCACAGGGGAGGGGCAGGTAACCTACACACCCACCCAGTGGTAATGATGTCCAGCTGGCAGCCAGACGCTGGAATACGGTTCTGACTGACAGAGTGAGGGCTTTGCAAAGGAGCTTTGATGAGATTTTTGTGGGACTGGAAAAAAATGCATGGAACTTAAAACAACGTTATTAACTGGTTCCCATAGTTTTAAAATAATGGTTCTGTTCCGGAACAGTATAAATCACTTTCGTTTTCGGTTCAGGTTCTGTTCCTAAAATAATATTGTTATTTGCCGGTTTTCGGTTCTCCAACCCTTGACTATAACATTATTTGAGAGCCATGTTAATGTTAATGGGTAACATCACATTGGGTGTATTTCAATAATGCTATGTAACTGAAAGTCTAGAATTAGAAAAAATAAATAATTAATAATAAATTAAATAATGATAACTCTCAAAATATATGGCCCTGGTTATTCCTAATGCTGTCTGCTGACACATTGTTGTCCTGCTGAGTTAGTCATCATGCTGTCTGCTGACACATTGTTGTCCTGCTGAGTTAGTCCTAATGCTGTCTGCTGACACATTGTTGTCCTGCTGAGTTAGTCCTAATGCTGTCTGCTGATACATTGTTGTCCTGCTGAGTTAGTCCTAATGCTGTCTGCTGACACATTGTTGTCCTGCTGAGTTAGTCCTAATGCTGTCTGCTGACACATTGTTGTCCTGCTGAGTTAGTCCTAATGCTGTCTGCTGATACATTGTTGTCCTGCTGAGTTAGTCCTAATGCTGTCTGCTGACACATTGTTGTCCTGCTGAGTTAGTCCTAATGCTGTCTGCTGACACATTGTTGTCCTGCTGAGTTAGTCATCATGCTGTCTGCTGACACATTGTTGTCCTGCTGAGTTAGTCATCATGCTGTCTGCTGACACATTGTTGTCCTGCTGAGTTAGTCCTAATGCTGTCTGCTGATACATGTTGTCTGCTGAGTTAGTCCTAATGCTTCTGTGAACATGTTGTCCTGCTGAGTTAGTCCTAATGCTGTTGTGACACATGTTGTCCTGCTGAGTAGTCATCATGCTGTTGCGACAATTGTTGTCCTGCTGAGTTAGTCCTAATGCTGTCTGCTGACACATTGTTGTCTGCTGAGTTAGTCATCATGCTGTCTGCTGACACATTGTTGTCCTGCTGAGTTAGTCATCATGCTGTCTGCTGACACAGGTCTGTGGTGTCTCGCTGCTGTCTGTGAGTTAGTCCTAATGCTGTCTGCTGATACATTGTTGTCCTGCTGAGTTAGTCCTAATGCTGTCTGCTGACACATTGTTGTCCTGCTGAGTTAGTCCTAATGCTGTCTGCTGATACATTGTTGTCCTGCTGAGTTAGTCCTAATGCTGTCTGCTGACACATTGTTGTCCTGCTGAGTTAGTCCTAATGCTGTCTGCTGATACATTGTTGTCCTGCTGAGTTAGTCCTAATGCTGTCTGCTGACACATTGTTGTCCTGAGGAGTAGTCCTAATGCTGTCTGATGACACATTGTTGTCCTGCTGAGTTAGTCCTAATGCTGTCTGCTGACACATTGATTTATCACATGAAAATAACATAATCCACACCAGGGCAACATGAGAACTCTGGCAACAAGACAATTAGGTTTTTGGTATAGTAGTGGTGTGGTAGTGGTGTAGTAGTGATATAGTAATGTTGTAGTAGTGGTGTAAGTAGTGGTGTAGTTGTTAGTTGTAGCTAGTGGTGTAGTCGTGATATAGAAGGTGGAGTAGTGGTTGTTGTGTAGTAGTGGTTGTAGTAATGGTGTTTAGTAGTGGGTGTAGTAATGGTTGTAGTAGTGGTGTAGTAGTGGTGTTAGTAATGTGTAGTCGTGGTTATGTAGTAGTGGTGTTGTATAGTGGTGTAGAGTTGTTGTGAGTAATGGTGTAGTTAGTGGTGTGTAATGGTGTGTAGTGGTGTAGTGTGTAAGTAATGTTGTAGTAGTTGGGTTGTAGTAGTGGTGTTAGTAGTGGTGTAGTAGTGGTGTAGTAACGGTGTAGTAGTGGTGTAGTAGTGATGTAGTAATGGTGTAGTAGTGGTGTAGTAGTGATATAGTATGGTGTAGTAGTGGTGTAGTAGTGGTGTAGTAGTGATGTAGTAATGTTGTAGTAGTGGTGTAGTAATGGTGTAGTAGTGGTGTAGTAGTGGTGTTTGTAGATAGTGGTTGTGAAGTTAATGGTGTTTAGTAGTTAGTGGTGTAGTAGTGAGATAGTATGTTGTGTTAGTGGGTAGTAATGGGTGTAGTAGTGTTGTGAGTAATGGTTGTCGAGTGGTGTTAGTTATGTTTAGTAAGGTGTAGTAGTGGTGTAGTAGTGATATAGTAGTGGTGTAGTAATGGTGTAGTAGTGGTGTAGTAGTGATATAGTAGTGGTGTAGTAATGGTGTAGTAATGTACCTGTGATCCCAGCAGGGTCTTGGTGTAGTAGTGATATAGTAGTGGTTTGAGAGTGGTGTGTAGTAGTGGTGTGTAATGGGGTTTTTTGTAGTAGTGGGTAGTAGTGGTGTTGTAGTAGTGGTGTTGTGTAGTAATGGGTAGTTGTGGTTTAGTAGTGATATAGTAATGTACCTGTGATCCCAGCAGGGTCTTGGTGTAGTAGTGGTGTAGTAGTGGTGTAGTAGTGGTGTAGTAGTGATATAGTAATGGTGTAGTAGTGGTGTAGTAGGGTGGTATAGTGATATATAGTGGTGGATTAAATGGTGTAGTAGTGGTGTAGTAGTGATTATAGTAGTGGGGTAGTGTAGTCATGGGTAGTGGCATAATGTTACTGTGATCCCAGCAGGGTCTTGGTGAGTAGTGATATATAGTGGGTAGTATGTTGAGTAATGGTGATAGTAGTGGTGTAGTGGTGTAGTAGTGGTGTAGTAGTGGTGTAGTAATGGTGTAGTAGTGGTGTAGTAGTGATATAGTAATGTACCTGTGATCCCAGCAGGGTCTTGGTGTAGTAGTGGTGTAGTAGTGGTGTAGTAGTGGTGTAGTAGTGATATAGTAATGGTGTAGTAGTGGTGTAGTAGTGTACCTGGTGATACCAGCAGGGTCTGGTGTTTGTAGTAGTGTGTAGTAGTGGGGTGTAAGTAGGTGGTGTAGTAGGTACTTGTGATCCCAGCAGGGTATTGGTTTGTAGTATGGTGTAGTAGTGATATAGTAATGGTGTTATAGTGGTGTTAGTCGTGAATAGTCATGTACCTGTTGATCCAGACGGGTCTTGGTGTAGTTAGTAGTGGTGTAGTAGAGTAGTAGTGTGTAAGTGTAGTGTAGTTGTAGTAGTGGTGTAGTTTGTGTGTAGTTGGTGAAAGTAGTGATATAAAGTAATGGTGGGTAGTAGGGATATAGTAATGGGGTGTAGTAGGTACCTGTGAGCCAGCAGTGTCTTGGTGTAGTAGTGATTATAGGAGGGGTGTAGTAGTAGTAGTGGTGTAGTAAGTATAGTGTTTGTAGTAGTGGTATAGTAATGTACCTGTGATCCCAGCAGGGTCTTGGTGTAGTAGTGATATAGTAGTGGTGTAGTAATGGTGTAGTAATGGTGTAGTAGTGGTATAGTAATGTACCTGTGATTCCCGCAGGTCTGGTGTCGTAGTGATATCGTTAGTGGTAGTAGTTTGTAGTAGTGGTTGTAGAGTGTTGTTAGTAATGTACCTGTGATCCCAGCAGGGTCGGGTGTTGTAGTAGGGATATAGTAGTGTGTAGTAGTGTGTAGTTTAATGGTGTAGTAGTGGTTGTAGAGTGAATATGTAGTGTGTAGTAGTGGTGTCAGTCGTGATTCTAGTAGTGGTTGTAGTAGTGGTGAGTATAGTTGTTTGTAGTAGTGATATAGTAGTGTGTTATCGGGGTTGTAGTAGTGGGTTAGTAGTGGTATGTAGTGGTTGTAGTAGTGGTGTTTGTAGTAGTGAGTTAGTACTGGTGTAGTAGTGATATAGTAATGGTGTGTTAGAATGTCCTGTGATCAGCAGGGTTGGGTAGTAGTGATATAGTTAGTGGTTGTAGTAAGTGGCTGTAGTAGTGGTGTAGTAGTGATATAGTAGTGGTGTAGTAGTGGTGTAGTAGTGATGTAGTAGTGGTGTAGTAGTGGTGTAGTAGTGATATAGTAGTGGTGTAGTAGTGGTGTAGTAGTGGTTGTAGTAGTGGTGTAGTAGTGATATAGTAGTGGTGTAGTAGTGGTGTAGCAGTGGTGTAGTAGTGGTGTAGTAGTGGTGTAGTAGTGTACCTGTGATCCCAGCAGGGTCTTGGTGTAGTAATCACGGGGCATGAAGACCTCTACGATAGTGATGAGACACCAGAAGGCATCCTCTTGGTCCAGGTACAGCAACGCTATGGCTGCCAGCCTGGGAGAGGAGAACACTGATAATAGGACAACATATTCCTCCCACAGGATCAAACATAGCAGCACCTCTAGTTATCTGTAGTGGTCATCATAACATAGCAGCACCTCTAGTTATCTGTAGTGGTCATAACATCGCGCACCTATGTTATCTGTAGTGGTCCTCATAAAATAGTAGACACCTCTAGTTATCTGTAGTGGTCATTAACATAGCAGCAAGCACCTCTAGTTACTGTAGTGAGTCATAACATAGCAGACTCTAGTTATCTGTAGTGGTCATCATAACATATTAGCAACCTCTAGTTATCTGAGTGGTCCATCATAAACATAGCCAGCACCTTTAGTTATCTGTAGTGGTCACAACATAGTAGCACCTATGTTATCTGTAGTGGTCATAACAAGCATCACCTCTAGTTATTGTAGTGCGTCATCACACATAGTAGCAACTCTAGTTATCTGTAGTGGCATCCATAACAAGCAGCACCTCTAGTTATCGTTAGTGCGTAATCATAACATAGCAGCACCTCTAGTTATCTGTAGTGGTCATCATAACATAGTAGCACCTCTAGTTATCTGTAGTGGTCATCATAACATAGCAGCACCTCTAGTTATCTGTAGTGGTCATCATAACATAGCAGCACCTCTAGTTATCTGTAGTGTCATCATAACATAGCAGCACCTCTAGTTATCTGTAGTGGTCATCATAACATAGTAGCACCTCTAGTTATCTGTAGTGAGTCTCATAAAATAGAGTAGCCACCTATAGGTATCTGTAGGGTCCATCATAACATGCAGCACCTCTAGTTATTGTAGTGGTCATAACATAGCAGCACCTCTAGTTATCTGTAGTGGTCATAACATAGCAGCACCTCTAGTTATCTGTAGTGGTCATCATAACATAGTAGCACCTCTAGTTATCTGTAGTGGTCATCATAACATAGCAGCACCTCTAGTTATCTGTAGTGGTCATAACATAGTAGCACCTCTAGTTATCTGTAGTGGTCATCATAACATAGCAGCACCTCTAGTTCTCTGTAGTGGTCATCATAACATAGTAGCACCTCTAGTTATTCGTAAGTAGGCATCCATAACATAGCAGGCACCTCTAGTTATCTGTAGTGGTACATAAACATAGCAGAACCTCTAGTATCGTAGGGTCACATAACATAGTAGCACCTCTAGTTATCTGTAGTGGTCATCATAACATAGTAGCACCTCTAGTTATCTGTAGTGGTCATCATAACATAGTAGCACCTCTAGTTATCTGTAGTGGTCATCATAACATAGTAGCACCTCTAGTTATCTGTAGTGGTCATATAAATAGTAGCACCTCTAGTAGCTGTAGTGGTCATCATAACATCGAAGCAACCTCTAGTTATCTGTAGTGGTCATCATCACAGAGTAGCACCTCTAGTATCTGTAAGTGGTCATCAGAAACATAGCAGCACCTTAGTTATCTGTAGGGTCATAACATAGTAGCACCTCTAGTTAATCTGAGTGGTCATCATAACATAGTAGCACCTCTTAGTTATCTGTAGTGGTCAATAACCATAGCAGCACTCTAGGATCTGTAGTGGTCATCAACATAGTTAGCACATCTAGTTATCTGTAGTGGCATCATAACATAGTAGCACCCTTAGTGATCGTAGTGGTCATAACATAGCAGCACCTCTAGTTATCTGTAGTGGTCATCATAAAACATTAGTAGCACCTCTAGTTATCTGTAGTGGTCATCGTACATAAGCAGCACCTCTAGTTATATGTTAGTGGTCATACATAAAACATAGTAGCACCTTAGTTTATCTGTAGTGGTCACATAAACATAGCAGCACCTGCTAGTTATCTGTTAGTGGTCATTAACATAGTAGCACCTCTATTATCGGTACGTGGTTCATCGAAACATAGTAGCACCTTAGTTACTCTTATGTCATCATAACAGAGTAGCACCTCTAGGTATCTGTAGTGGTCCGCGTACCATAGTAGCACCTCTATTTACTGTAGTGTTATAACTAGTAGCACCTTAGTTATCTGTAGTGATCATCAAACCTAGTCAGCACTCTAGTATCTGTAGTGGTCATCCGTAACATAGTAGCAACCTCTAGTATCGGTAGTGGTATCATAACATAGCAGCACCTCTAGTTACGTATGGTCTATCATAACCTCAAGCAGCACGCTAGTTATCGGTAGTGGTCAAACATAGCAGCACCTCTAGTTATCTAGTGTCATAATAACATAGTAGCCCTCTAGTTACTGTAGTGGTCATCATAACATAGCAGCACCAGCACCTCTAGTATCTGTAGGTGGTCCATCATAACATTAGCAGCACCTCGGTTATCTGTAGTGGTCATCATAACATTAGTCGCACCTCTCTAGTTATCTGTATGGTCATAACATAGTAGCACCTATAGTATCTGTAGTGGCATCAAACATAGTAGCACCTCTAGTTATCTGTAGTGGTCATAACATAGTAGCACCTCTAGTTATCTGTAGTGGTCATCATAACATAGTAGCACCTCTAGTTATCTGTAGTGGTCATAACATAGCAGCACCTAGAGTATCTGTAGTGGTCATCAGAAAATAGCAGACCTTAGTTATCTGTAGTGGTCATCATAAATAGTAGCACCTTAGGTATCGGTAGTGGTGATCATAACATAGTAGCACTCTAGTTATCTGTAGTGGTCATCATAACATAGTAGCACCTCTAGTTATCTGTAGTGGTCATCATAACATAGCAGCACCTCTAGTTATCTGTAGTGGTCATCATAACATAGTAGCACTCTTAGTTTCTGAGTGGTCATCATAACATAGTAGAACTCTAGTATCTGTAGTGGTTCATCTTAACATAGTAAATAGCACCTCGAGTTATTGTAAGTGGTCATAACATAGTAGAACCTCTGAGTTATTCTGTAGTGCGTCTTCATAACATAGTAGCACCTTCGTTACTGTAGTGGTCATCATAACATGCAGCACCCTAGTATCTGTAGTTGGTCATCAAACAGAGTAGCACTCTAGTTATTGTAGTGGTCATAACAGCAGCACTCTAGTTATCTGTATGGTCATCATAAACAAGTAGCACCTCTAGTTTCTGTAGTGGGCATCATAACATAGCGCAACCTCTAGTTATTCTGTAGTGGTCATCATAACATATAAAATAGCACATCTTTAGTTATCTGTCGTGGTCATCATAACATAGCAGAAACCTCTAGTATCTGTAGTGGTCATAACATAGAGCAACCTTAAAGTTATCTGTAGTGGTTCATCATACCATTAGTAGCACCTCTAGTCATCTTAGTGGTCATAACATGAGCGCACCTCTGTATCTGTAGGGCAAAATAGTAGCACCTTGTTATATGTAGGGGTCATAACATAGTAGCACTCTAGTTATCTGTAGTGGTCATAACATAGTAGCCATCTAGTTATATGTAGTGGTCATCATAAAATAGTGCACCTATAGTTATCTGTAGTGGTAAACATAGAGCACCTCTATTATCTGTAGTGTCATCAGAACATAATGCCACCTGCTAGTATCTGTAGTGGTCATAATAAACCAGCTTAGACCTCTAGTTATCTGTATGGTCATCATAACATAGTAGCACACTCTAGTTATCTGTAGGGGTCATCATAAACATAGCAGCACTATATTATCTTGTAAGTGGTCATAATACCATAGTAGCACCTCTAGTTATCTGTAGTGGTCATAACATAGTAGCACCTCTAGTTATCTGTAGTGGTCATCATAACATAGTAGCACCTCCAGTTATCTGTAGTGGTCACAACATAGTAGCACCTCTAGTTTTCTGTAGTGGTCATAACATAGTAGCACCTCTAGTTATCTGTAGTGGTCATCATAACCTGTAGCACATCTAGTGTATCTGTAGTGGTCTCATAAAATAGTAGCACCTCTAGTTATCTGTAGGGGTAAAATAGCAAGCACCTCTAGTTATCTGTAGGGTATAAACATATAGCACCTCAGTTATCTGTAGTGAGGTATCCTAACATAGCAGCACCTCTGAGTTATCGGTTAGTAGTGGTCATCATAACATAGTGCACCTCTAGTTATCTGTAGTGGTCATCATACATTAGCAGGCACCTCGAGTTATCTGTAGTGGTCAAACATAGTAGCACCTCCTAGTTATCTTGTAGTGGTTCTCATACCCCCCGAGTAGCACCTCTAGTTATCTGTAGTCGGTCATCATTAAATAAGTAGCACCTCAGTATCTGTAGTGGTCACAACATAGTAGCCCCTCTAGTTTTATGTAGTGGTCATACATAGTAGCCACCTCTAGTTTATCTGTATGGTCATCATAACATAGTAGCACCTCTAGTTATCTGTAGTGGTCATCATAACATAGTAGCACCTCTAGTTATCTGTAGTGGTCATAACATAGCAGCACCTCTAGTTATCTGTAGTGGTCATAACATAGTAGCACCTCTAGTTATCTGTAGTGGTCATCATAACATAGCAGCACCTCTAGTTATCTGTAGTGGTCATAACATAGTTAAGCACCTAGAGTTATCTGTATGGTCATCATAAACCTAGAGCACTCTCTAGTTATCTGTAGTGGTTCATAACATAGTTAAGCACATCTAGTATATCTGATTGGTCATCATAAACATCGCGCAACTATAGTATCGGTAGTGGTCATATAACATAGTAGCACCTCTAGTTTATTGTAGTGGTCATTCCTAACATAGCAGCACTCTAGTTATCTGTAGTGGTCATCATAACATAGTAGCACCTCTAGTTATCTGTAGTGGTCATCATAACATAGCAGCACCTCTAGTTATCTGTAGTGGTCATCCAACATAGCAGCACTCTGAGATCTGTAGTGTAATCATAAAACATCAGTAGACCTCTAGGTATCTGTAGTGGTATCATAACACTAGTCAGCAACCTCTAGTTATCTGTAGTGGTCATCATAACATAGTAGCACCTCTAGTTATCTGTAGTGGTCAAACATAGTAGCACCTCTAGTTATCTGTAGTGGTTCATAACATAGTAGCACCTCTAGTTATCTGTAGTGGTCATCATACATCAGTAGCCCTATAGTTATCTGTAGGGTCATAACATAGTAGCACCTCTAGTTATCTGTAGTGGTCATAACATAGTAGCATCTCTAGTTACAGTGGGGAGAACAAGTATTTGATACACTGCCGATTTTGCAGGTTTTCCTACTTACAAAGCATGTAGAGGTCTGTACTTTTTATCATAGGTACACTTCAACTGTGAGAGACGGAATCTAAAACAAAAATCCAGAAAATCACATGGTATGATTTTTAAGTAATTAATTTGCATTTTATTGCATGACATAAGTATTTGATCACCTACCAACCAGTAAGAATTCCGGCTCTCACAGACCTGTTAGTTTTTCTTTAAGAAGCCCTCCTGTTCTCCACTCATTACCTGTATTAACTGCACCTGTTTGAACTCGTTACCTGTATAAAAGACACCTGTCCACACACTCAATCAAACAGACTCCAACCTCTCCACAATGGCCAACACCAGAGAGCTGTGTAAGGACATCAGGGATAAAATTGTAGACCTGCACAAGGCTGGGATGGGCTACAGGACAATAGGCAAGCAGCTTGGTGAGAAGGCAACAACTGTTGGCGCAATTATTAGAAAATGGAAGAAGTTCAAGATGACGGTCAATCACCCTCGGTCTGGGGCTCCATGCAAGATCTCAGCTCGTGGGGCATCAATGATCATGAGGAAGGTGAGGGATCAGCCCAGAACTACACGGCAGGACCTGGTCAATGACCTGAAGAGAGCTGGGACCACAGTCTCAAAGAAAACCATTAGTAACACACTACGCCGTCATGGATGATTAAAATCCTGCAGTGCACGCAAGGTCCCCCTGCTCAAGCCAGCGCATGTCCAGGCCCGTCTGAAGTTTGCCAATGACCATCTGGATGATCCAGAGGAGGAATGGGAGAAGGTCATGTGGTCTGATGAGACAAAAATAGAGCTTTTTGGTCTAAACTCCACTCGCCGTGTTTGGAGGAAGAAGAAGGATGAGTACAACCCCAAGAACACCATCCCAACCGTGAAGCATGGAGGTGGAAACATCATTCTTTGGGGATGCTTTTCTGCAAAGGGGACAGGACGACTGCACCATATTGAGGGGAGGATGGATGGGGCCATGTATCGCGAGATCTTGGCCAACAACCTCCTTCCCTCAGTAAAAGCATTGAAGATGGGTCGTGGCTGGGTCTTTCAGCATGACAATGATCCCAAACACACCGCCCGGGCAACGAAGGAGTGGCTCCGTAAGAAGCATCTCAAGGTCCTGGAGTGGCCTAGCCAGTCTCCAGATCTCAACCCCATAGAAAATCTTTGGAGGGAGTTGAAAGTCTGTGTTGCCCAGCGACAGCCCCAAAACATCACTGCTCTAGAGGAGATCTGCATGGAGGAATGGGCCAAAATACCAGCAACAGTGTGTGAAAACCTTGTGAAGACTTACAGAAAACGTTTGACCTGTGTCATTGCCAACAAAGGGTATATAACAAAGTATTGAGAAACTTTTGTTATTGACCAAATACTTATTTTCCACCATAATTTGCAAATAAATTCATTAAAAATCCTACAATGTGATTTTCTGGAGAAAAAAAATCTCATTTTGTCTGTCAAAGTTGACGTGTATCTATGATGAAAATTACAGGCCTCTCTCATCTTTTTAAGTGGGAGAACTTGCACAATTGGTGGCTGACTAAATAATTATATAAATAAATAAATAAATAAATAAATAAATATACATACATACATACACACTTTTTCTAAATATATTTTCCTTCATTTCTTTCCAATCCCACCACCCTTCTCCTAATTGGAGTAAACCAGTGAACAACAATGCTTAGGCCTCTACTTCCAGCTTATACTTACTATATACATTTTATGGACACAGTCAATTTTACAATTGTTCTATTTTGTTTGTTTTTTCTCCTGAACTTCCTCTACCCTCAACCTCATCATTTTCATGATGTCCAGCCGGTTTGCTTCTATATGCCATATCTTTCAAACTGTACTCTTTCACAAAAGTTCTTAACCTATAACCTATATACTTGTTATGGACACAGTATGTTTTACATTAGTTATCTTGTTGTTGTTAGTTGTTATTAGTCCCAACCTTCAGCTCCATTCAACACCTCCCATCTATCTCTTAACACCATCCATATTGGATTTCTATTTGCTATATATTTTTCAACTGTACTGTGATGTTTTACAAAAGTTCTGAACCCTTCTATTCTCATTGTTTCTACAGATTGCGAATTGCAAATAAACATTTTTGCTAAAAGTATTATTATATTATTGATCGATTTGACTATGACTTTTCAGATCACCCAGAAATGCTATCTGCAGGGTTAGGTAAATATTGCAATCCTTTAGCCATTCCTGGACCTGTGTCCAAAAACAAACTACAAATGGACAGTACCAAAACAAATGATTCTGTCTCTTCGCAGCAAAATCTGCAGAGCTGGGAAGATTGTATCCCCCATATAAATAACATTCTATTGGTAGCAAGAATTTTGTATAATAATTTAAATTCTACGTTTTGAATCCTGTGTCGTTTTGCGTATCAGTTCATAAACACTATGCCATGGGATCGGTACGTCAAAGATCTCTTCCCAACTATTTTGCAATCTATATGGGACGGCTGTCAATCCTTTGGTCATTAAATGAAACTGGTATACTTTTTTATTTATCACAGTTTTCTTTAACCAATTATGTTCTTTAATGCAGGGCCGACAGACAAGTTCCTTACTTTCTCCCCCTTCCACTTTCCTCTTCCATTTTTGCGGTAATGCTGAAATTATTTGGTTGTAATTTTGGGTAGAGCAGACATTTCCATATGTTTTTGTTAGCTGCATGTGCGACATAACTCCACCAGTCCTACCGATGATATCATTTACGAAGATTATACCTTTTTAAACATTTTTTCATTTTTTAAAATCAATTAGGAGATTTGTGTTTAACCACTATATTTGTTGCATAATTTTTCTGTCATTTCTGGAGGATTCAATTGAAATTGCAACCAACTTTCTATGGCTTGTTTTAGAAATAGTGATATTTGGGAGATTATTTCCTTTTCAAATGACTGAAAGTGAGAGGTTGTAATCTGAATAAAGGGGAAAAGGCTATTCTTGAACATTGGGTGAGACAATCTTACTAATTTGCTAGAGAACCAGTTCAGATTTAAGTATAACTTCTTTATGACTTTTAGTGATATATTTAATAATTTCTGTCCTCCGAATTCATATTCATTATATAAATAGGCCCGTTTAATTTTGCCCGTTCCAAATCAAATGGAATATTTTTTGCTCATATAATTTAAAAAACTGTTCGCTAGGCGTAGGCAAGACCATAAGCAAATAGGTAAACTGGGATAATACTAAAGAATTAATCAGGGTGATTTTACCACAAATTGAAAGGTATTTACCTTTCCATGGTAGCAAGATCTTATCTATTTTTTGCTAACTTTCTATTAAAATGTATTGAAGTGAGATCATTTATTTCCTTTGGGATATGTATTCCGAGTATATCCACATCACCATCAGACCATTTTATTGGTAAACTACATGGTAATGTAAAAGTTGTATTTTTTAGTGATCCAATACGTAATATAGTACATTTATCATAATTTGGTTGTAATCCAGAGAGCATAGAAAATGTATCTAGATCCTCTATGAGGCTGTGGAGGGATTGAAGTTGTGGATTTAACACTACTGATGAATGGACCGGTTTGGATTTCTACTTGACCTTACATAACAGTATTTCAATGCTTGGTTTGTTAAATGTAATAACTGAGTGATGAAACTCAATGTACTTGTTTTGCCATGAATCTTGCAGGTGCCAAAATAACCCCTAGAAATCGGCACAATGCCCCCTTGTGGCGAAAGTAAGAACTGCCATTGAATCCATTGAAAATATATGGTCATAACATGTTTCCATCCAATTGGCGACAGATTTTCATACAAATGCTCAAAAAATATGCATAAAGGAAATATGCACATTTACCCACCAGTGGTTTGTTTCCACCAAAATTGCAGATGAAAATCAGTGTGTGATGACGCAAAAAATGTTATTTTGAAGTTTTCATGTAACGAATAAAAACCTAAAGTTGAATGTGTTTCTAACTCTACTGATATTGTTGTCACAAACACTTGAGTTAAAAACGAATGTGCCTACTGTGGTCCTGGCCTCTAGCCAACAGCTCATAGGTACAGGGCGGGTAGACTGTGGTCCTGGCCTCTAGCCAACAGCTCGTAGGTACAGGGCGGGTAGACTGTGGTCTTGGCCTCTAGCCAACAGCTCGTAGGTACAGGGCGGGTAGACTGTGGTCCTGGCCTCTAGCCAACAGCTCGTAGATACAGGGCGGGGTAGACTGTGGCCTGGCCTCTAGCCAACAGCTCGTAGATACAGGGCGGTAGTAGACTCTGGTCCTTGGCCTCTAGCCAACAGCTCGTAGGTACAGGCGGGTAGACTGTGGTCCTGGCCTCTAGCCAACAGCTCGTAGATACAGGGCAGTGTAGACTGTTGGTCCTGGCCTCTAGCCAACAGCTCGTAGTATACAGGGCGGGTAGACTGTGGTCCTTGGCCTCTAGCCAACAGCTCGTAGGATACATGGGCGGGTCGACTCTGGTCCTGGCCTCTAGCCAACAGCTCGTAGGTACAGGGCGGGTAGACTCTGGTCCTGGCCTCTAGCCAACAGCTCGTAGATACAGGGCGGGTAGACTGTGGTCCTGGCCTCTAGCCAACAGCTCGTAGATACAGGGCGGGTAGACTGTGGTCCTGGCCTCTAGCCAACAGCTCGTAGATACAGGGCGGGTAGGACTGTGGTCCTGGCCTCTAGCCAACAGCTCGTAGGTACAGGGCGGGTAGACTGTGGTCCTGGCCTCTAGCCAACAGCTCGTAGGTACAGGGCAGGTAGACTGTGGTCTCTAGCCAACAGCTCGCAGGTACAGGGCGGGTAGACTGTGGTCCTGGTCTCTAGCCAACAGCTCGTAGATACAGGGCGGGTAGACTCTGGCCTCTAGCCAACAGCTCATAGATACAGGACAGGTAGACTGTGGTCCTGGCCTCTAGCCAACAGCTCGCAGGTACAGGGCGGGTAGACTGTGGTCCTGGCCTCTAGCCAACAGCTCGCAGGTACAGGGCGGGTAGACTGTGAAGGTGGGCTAGTCTACATGATGAGGTTATTATGGATAAGAGAGAGATTATTTGTATTTGTCAAACAGCAGTCAAGCATCGATCATCATGTCACCAGTATAAAACCCTAAATATTTACTGAAAAGGAGCATCAAGCTCGTCATCGTGCACTTTCACCTCCCTGTAAAGTTCATCATAAATAAGGCCTATTTCATCTGTAGCCTAATAAACTGCATGGTTTCCCGAGTCGTAGTGGGAGAACCACACACCATATCATCGTGCCCTATATACTAGTAGTATGATATATAGCCCTATATACTAGTAGTATGATATATAGCCCTATATACTAGTAGTATGATATATAGCCCTATATACTAGTAGTATGACATATAGCCCTATATACTAGTAGTATGATATATAGCCCTATATACTAGTAGTATGACATATAGCCCTATATACTAGTAGTATGATATATAGCCCTATATACTAGTAGTATGACATATAGCCCTATATACTAGTAGTATGATATATAGCCCTATATACTAGTAGTATGATATATAGCCCTATATACTAGTAGTATGACATATAGCCCTATATACTAGTAGTATGTAGTATGATATATAGCCCTATATACTAGTAGTATGACATATAGCCCTATATACTAGTAGTATGATATATATACCACTGAAAACACCGCTACTCCTACTGCTCTCTCCTCGTCTGACCATGTGTTCTCGCATACCCCGAGAGCATCTGGTCAGAGGGGTGGTGGTACAGGAATCCTCATCTCTCCCAAGTGGACATTCTCAATTTTTCCCCTAACCCATCTGTCTATCTCCTCATTTGAATTCCATGCTGTCACAGTCACTAGCCCATTTAAGCTTAATATCCTTGTCATCTATCGCCCTCCAGGTTCCCTTGGAGAGTTCATCAATGAGCTTGACGCCTTGATAAGTTCCTTCCCTGAGGATGGCTCACCCCTCACAGTTTTGGGGGATTTCAACCTCCCTATGTCCACATTTGACTCATTTCTCTCTGCCTCCTTCTTTCCACTCCTCTCCTCTTTTGACCTCACCCTCTCACCGTCCCCCCCTACTCACAAGGCAGGCAATACGCTTGACCTCATCTTCACTAGATGCTGCTCCTCTACTAATCTCACTGCAACTCCCCTCCAAGTCTCCGACCACTACTTTGTTTCCTTTTCTCTCTCACTCTCCTCCCACACTACTCACTCTGCCCCTACACAGATGGTAATGCGCCGCCGCAACCTTCGCTCTCTCTCTCCCACTACTCTCTCCTCCTCCATCCTATCATCTCTTCCCTCTGCTCAATCCTTCTCCCTCCAATCTCCTGATTCTGCCTCCTCAACCCTCCTCTCCTCCCTTTCTGCATCCTTTGACTCTCTGTGTCCCCTATCCTCCCGGCCGGCTCGGTCCTCCCCTCCAGCTCCGTGGCTTGATGACTCATTGCGAGCTCACAGAACAGAGCTCCGGGCAGCGGAGCGGAAATGGAAGAAAACTAAACTCCCTGCCGACCTGGCATCTTTTCACTCCCTCCTCTCTACATTTTCTTCATCTGTTTCTGCTGCTAAGGCCACCTTCTACCACTCTAAATTCCAAGCATCTGCCTCTAACCCTAGGAAGCTCTTTGCCACATTTTCCTCCCTCCCTTCTCAAAAAACCAACACTCGACCCCACTGATGTCAACAACTACAGACCAGTATCCCTTCTTTCTTTTCTTTCCAAAACTATTGAGCGTGCCGTCTTTAGCCAACTCTCCTGCTATCTCTCTCAGAATGACCTTCTTGATCCAAACCAATCAGGTTTCAGGACTGGTCATTCAACTGAGACTGCTCTTCTCTGTGTCACGGAGACTCTCCGCACTGCTAAAGCTAACTCTCTCTCCTCTGCTCTTGTCCTTCTAGACCTGTCTGCTGCCTTTGATACTGTGAACCATCAGATCCTCCTCTCCACCCTCTCCGAGATGGGCATCTCCGGCGCGGCTCACTCCTGGATTGCGTCCTACCTGACCGGTCGCTCCTACCAAGTGGCGTGGCGGGAAGCTGTCTCCGCACCACGTGCTCTCACCACTGGTGTCCCCCAGGGATCGGTTCTGGGCCCTCTCCTTTTCTCCCTATACACCAAGTCACTTGGCTCTGTCATATCCTCACATGGCCTTTCCTATCATTGCTACGCTGATGATACACAACTAATCTTCTCCTTTCCCCCTTCTGATAACCAGGTGGCGAATCGCATCTCTGCATGTCTGGCAGACATATCAGTATGGATGACGGATCACCACCTCAAGCTGAACCCTGGCAAGACGGAGCTGCTCTTCCTCCCGGGGAAGGACTGCCCGTTCCATGATCTCGCCATCACGGTTGACAACTCCGCTGTGTCCTCCTCCCAGAGTGCGAAGAGCCTAGGCGTGACCCTGGACAACACCCTGTCGTTCTCCGCCAACATCAAGGCGGTGACCCGCTCCTGCAGGTTCATGCTCTACAACATTCGGAGAGTGCGACCCTGCCTTACACAGGAAGCGGCGCAGGTCCTGGTCCAGGCACTTGTCATCTCCCGTCTGGACTACTGCAACTCGCTGTTGGCTGGGCTCCCTGCCTGTGCCATTAAACCCCTACAACTCATCCAGAATGCCGCAGCCCGTCTGGTGTTCAACCTTCCCAAGTTCTCTCACGTCACCCCCCTCCTCCGCACACTCCACTGGCTTCCAGTTGAAGCTCGCATCCGCTACAAGACCATGGTGCTTGCCTATGGAGCAGTGAGGGGAACGGCACCTCTGTACCTTCAGGCTCTGATCAGTCCCTACACCCAAACGAGGACATTGCGTTCATCCACCTCTGGCCTGCTGGCTCCCCTTCCTCTGCGGAAGCATAGCTCCCGCTCAGCCCAGTCAAAACTGTTCGCTGCTCTGGCACCCCAATGGTGGAACAAGCTCCCTCACGACGCCAGGACAGCGGAGTCACTCACCACCTTCCGGAGACATTTGAAACCCCACCTCTTTAAGGAATACCTGGGATAGGATAAAGTATTCCTTCTAACCCCCCCCCCCCCCCCCAAATTGTAAAGTGGTTATCCCACTGGCTATAGGGTGAACGCACCAATTTGTGAGTCGCTCTGGCTAAGAGCGTCTGCTAAATGACGTTAATGTGCCCTTGAGCAAGGCACTTAACCCTAATTGCTCCTGTAAGTCGCTCTGGTTAAGAGCGTCTGCTAAATGACTAAAATGTAAATGTAATGATATATAGCCCTATATACTAGTAGTATGATATATAGCCCCATATACTAGTAGTATGATATATAGCCCTATATACTAGTAGTATGATATATAGCCCCATATACTAGTAGTATGATATATAGCCCAGCCCTATATACTAGTAGTATGATATATAGCCCTATATACTAGTAGTATGATATATAGCCCTATATACTAGTAGTATGATATATAGCCCTATATACTAGTAGTATGATATATAGCCCTATATACTAGTAGTATGATATATAGCCCTATATACTAGTAGTATGATATATAGCCCTATATACTAGTAGTATGATATATAGCCCTATATACTAGTAGTATGACATATAGCCCTATATACTAGTAGTATGATATATAGCCCTATATACTAGTAGTATGACATATAGCCCTATATACTAGTAGTATGATATATAGCCCTATATACTAGTAGTATGATATATAGCCCTATATTTTAATGCCCTATATACTAGTAGTATGACATATAGCCCTATATACTAGTAGTATGATATATAGCCCTATATACTAGTAGTATGACATATAGCCCTATATACTAGTAGTATGATATATAGCCCAGCCCTATATACTAGTAGTATGATATATAGCCCTATATACTAGTAGTATGATATATAGCCCTATATACTAGTAGTATGATATATAGCCCTATATACTAGTAGTATGATATATAGCCCAGCCCTATATACTAGTAGTATGATATATAGCCCTATATACTAGTAGTATGATATATAGCCCTATATACTAGTAGTATGATATATAGCCCTATATACTAGTAGTATGATATATAGCCCTATATACTAGTAGTATGATATATAGCCCTATATACTAGTAGTATGATATATAGCCCTATATACTAGTAGTATGATATATAGCCCAGCCCTATATACTAGTAGTATGATATATAGCCCTATATACTAGTAGTATGACATATAGCCCCATATACTAGTAGTATGACATATAGCCCTATATACTAGTAGTATGATATATAGCCCTATATACTAGTATGATATAGCCTATACTAGTAGTATGATATAGCCCTATATACTAGTAGTATGATATATAGCCCTATATACTAGTAGTATGATATATAGCCCTATATACTAGTAGTATGATATATAGCCCTATATACTAGTAGTATGATATATAGCCCTATATACTAGTAGTATGACATATAGCCCTATATACTAGTAGTATGATATATAGCCCTATATAATAGTAGTATGACATATAGCCCTATATACTAGTAATGTAGTAATTGAATGGTAGTCGTACTGCAGTAGTTATGTACCTGTTGAGTCCCTGGCAGTATCCTATGTCGGGGTTCCTCCAGGAGAAGGCTAGCAGGACGTTACGTAGTTTCTGTATTCCTTCGGCGCTGGGAGAGGAGTAGTGTTTGTTGTTAGGCAAGGTCCTCAGCAGGTCAAGCTCTATCTGTTTGGAGGCGGGATTAGCCTTGTCTCTGGCCACACCCAGTAAGGTCTCGTAGTAGTTTGGAGCCATGCTGTCACGGAACTTCCTGGTGTGGTAGGACACGCACCAGCGCCACACCTGGCAGGGGGGAGGAAGTACAGTCATTCATTCATTCATTCATTGATTCATTGATTCATTTATGAACGCACACCTCAATTAATTTTTGGCCGGGAAAACTGATTTATTAGGTTAAAAAAAAACAAAGTCCTGAGCACGTTTGACACATTTCATCACTGAGTGAAACATATCAAGAGATATAAACATATGCCCGTTATAGTGTCACTGTGTGTTGGATCATAAACAATCCTTGGTTCCTGCCTGTGCCTGGTAAAGATGAGGGGAACGCCCAGAATATGTTCTTTAGGAGACGGAGACAGTCACATGTAGCAACCAATCATGTTTATGTTGGTTTTAATGTAGCCGTATATAAGGCACTATGTAAGGAACGCCCTTTTAAAGCTCACTTCAGACCAATACTTTATGCATCTAAATTTGACTGTGACCATAGATGCCAAAATGTGGACACATTGCCCTAGGACAAAAACAAACTGATCATGCAATGTAATATGCTTTTGAGGTATTATGGACCATTTTCATGGTGACTACATTATACGTCTTCTTCTCCAGAACCGCTGCACCGATCGGCAACAAATTTGGTACATACTCTAGCACAGGGATCTTCAATTCCGGTCCTGGAGGGCCGAAACACCTCTGTTTTTCATCCTCTCCTTCTAATCAGGGGCTAATTCAGACCCGGGACACCAGAAGTGTTTCGGCCCTCCAGGACCTCCAGGACCTCCAGGACCTCCAGGACCTCCAGGACCTCCAGGACCGGAATTGAAGAACCCTGCTCTAGCATCTACAGTACCAGTAAAAGTTTGGACAGCTAATCATTCAAGGGTTTTTCTTTATTTTTACTATTTTCTACATTGTAGAATAATAGTGAAGACATAAAAACTATGAAGTAACACATATGGAATCATGTAGTAACCAAAAAAGTATTAAACAAATGAAAATATATTTGAGATTTTTCAAATAGCCACCGTTTGCCTTGATGACAGCTTTGCACACTCTTGGCATTCTCTCAACCAGCTTCACCTGGAATGCTTTTCCAACAGTCTTGAAGGACTTCCCACATATGCTGAGCACTTGTTGGCTGCTTTTCCTTCACTCTGCGGTCCGACTCATCCCAAACTATCTCAATTGGGTTGAGGTCAGGGGATTGTGGAGGCCAGGTCATCTGATGCAGCACTCCATCACTCTCCTTGGTCAAATAGCCCTTACACAGCCTGGAGGTGTTTTGGGTCATTGTCCTGTTGAAAAACAAATGATAGTCCCACTAAGCCCAAACCAGATGGGATGGCGTATCGCTGCAGAATGCTGTGGTAGCCATGCTGGTTAAGTGTGCCTTGAATTATAAATAAATCACAGACAGTGTCACCAGCAAAGCACCCCCACACCATAACACCTCCTCCTCCATGCTTCACGTTGGGACCCACACATGCGGAGATCGTCCGTTCACCTACTCTGCATCTCACAAGGACACGGCGGTTGGAACCAAAAATCTCCAATTTGGACTCCAGACCAAAGGACACATTTCCACCGGTCTAATGTCCATTGCTCGTGTTTCTTGGCCCAAGCAGGTCTCTTCTTCTTATTGGTGTCCTTTAGTAGTGGTTTCTTTGCAGCAATTCAACCATGAAGGCCTGATTCAAACAATCTCCTCTGAACAGTTGATGTTGAGATGTGTCTATGACCTGAACTCTGTGAAGCATTTATTTGGGCTGCAATTTCTGAGGCTGGTAACTCTAATGAACTTATCCTCTGCAGCAGAGGTAACTCTGGGTCTTCCATTCCTGTGGTGGTCCTCATGAGAGCTAGTTTCATTACATTTACATTTACATTTTAGTCATTTAGCAGACGCTCTTATCCAGAGCGACTTACAGTTAGTGAATACATTTTTTTTTTTTTATACTGCCCCCCCGTGGGAATCGAACCCACAACCCTGGCGTTGCAAACGCCATGCTCTATCAACTGAGCTACATCCCTGCTGGCCATTCCCTCCCCTACCCTGGACGACGCTGGGCCAATTGTGCGCCGCCCATGAGTCTCCCGGTCATCATAGAGCTTGATGGTTTTTGCGACTGCACTTGAAGAAACGTTCAAAGTTATTGACATTTTCCATATTGACTGACCTTCATGTCTTAAAATAATGATGGACTGTCGTTTCTCTTTGCTTATTTGAGCTGTTCTTGCCATAATATGGACTTGGTCTTTTACCAAATAGGACTATCTTCTGTATACCACCCCTTCCTTGTCACAACACAACTGATTGGCTGAAACGCATTAAGAAGGAAAGAAATTCCACAAATTAACATTTAACAAGGCACACCTATTAATTGAAATGCATTCCAGGTGACTACCTCATGAAGCTGGTTGAGAGAATGCCAAGAGTGTGCAAAGCTGTCATCAAGGCAAAGGGTGTCTATTTGAAGAATCTCAAAAATAAAATTGTGTTTGATTACTATATGATTCCATATGTGTTGTTTCATAGTTTTGATGCCTTCTCTATTATTCTACAATGTAGAAAATAGTAAAAATAAAGAAAAACCCTTGAATGATTAGGTGTTCTAAAACGTTTGACCGGTAGTCTATATGATGTATTAATAGCATAGAGTATCCTCAGCATAATATCACGTAATACAGTGTAATCTACAGTAGGGGAGAATGAACCTTTCTACAGCGTAACACAGTGTAAAACAGTATAATACAGTGTAATCTACAGTAGGGGAGAATTAACCTTTCTACAGCGTAACACAGTGTAAAACAGTATAATACAGTGTAATACAGTATAATAGAGTATAATACAGAGTAAAACAGTTTAATCTACAGTAGGGGAGAATGAACCTTTCTACAGCGTAACACAGTGTAAAACAGTATAATACAGTGTAATACAGTATAATAGAGTATAATACAGAGTAAAACAGTTTAATCTACAGTAGGAGAGAATGAACCTTTCTACAGCGTAACACAGTGTAAAACAGTATAATACAGTGTAATCTACAGTAGGGGAGAATGAACCTTTCTACAGCGTAACACAGTGTAAAACAGTATAATACAGTGTAATCTACAGTAGGGGAGAATGAACCTTTCTACAGCGTAACAATGTAATACAGTATAATACAGTGTAATACAGTATAATACAGTTTAATCTACAGTAGGGGAGAATTAACCTTTCTACAGCGTAACAATGTAATACAGTATAATATAATATAATACAGCGTAAATCTACATTACAGTGTAATCTACAGTGGGGGAGAATGAACCTTTCTACAGCGTAACACAGTGTAAAACAGTATAATACAGTGTAATCTACAGTAGGGGAGAATGAACCTTTCTACAGCGTAACAGTGTAATACAGGATAATACAGTGTAATCTACAGTAGGGGAGAATGAACCTTTCTACATCATAACTGCGTAATACAGTATAATAGAGTATAATACAGAGTAAATCTACATTACAGTGTAATCTACAGTAGGGGAGAATGAACCTTTCTACATCATAACACAGTGTAAAACAGTATAATACAGTGTAATACAGTATAATAGAGTATAATACAGAGTAAAACAGTTTAATCTACAGTAGGAGAGAAGCAGCCTGTCTACAGTATAATACAGTGGAATACAGTATAATACAGTGTAATACAGTATAATACAGTATAATACAGTATAATACAGTATAATACAGTGGAATACAGTATAATACAGTGGAATACAGTATAATACAGTATAATACAGTATAATACAGTATAATACAGTATAATACAGTGTACTACAGTATAATACAGTGTAATACAGTATAATACAGTGTAATCTACAGTAGGGGAGAATGAACCTTTCTACAGCGTAACAGTGTAATACAGGATAATACAGTGTAGTACAGTATAATACAGAGTAATTTACAGTAATGGACAATTAGCACGTCTACAGCGCAACAGTGTAATACAGTATAATAGAGTATAATACAGAGTAAAACAGTTTAATCTACAGTAGGAGAGAAGCAGCCTGTCTACAGTATAATACAGTATAAAACAGTGGAATACAGTGTACTACAGTATAATACAGTGGAATACAGTGTATTATACTACAGTGGAATACAGTGTACTACAATATACTACAGTGGAATACAGTGTATTATACTACAGTGGAATACAGTGTACTACAATATACTACAGTGGAATACAGTGTACTACAATATACTACAGTATAATACAGTGTAATACAGTGTAATACAGTGTACTACAGTATAATACAGTGGAATACAGTGTATTATACTACAGTGGAATACAGTGTACTACAATATACTACAGTGGAATACAGTGTACTACAATATACTACAGTGGAATACAGTGTATTATACTACAGTGGAATACAGTGTACTACAATATACTACAGTGGAATACAATGTATTAGACTACAGTGGAATACAGTGTACTACAATATACTACAGTGGAATACAGTGTATTATACTACAGTGGAATACAGTGTACTACAATATACTACAGTGGGAATACAATGTATTAGACTACAGTGGAATACAGTGTACTACAATATACTACAGTGGATACAGTGTACTACAATATACTACATGGAAACAGTGTATTAGACTACAGTGGAAAAAACAGTGTACACGTATAAAACATGGAATCGTTTTAACTACGTGTAAAAGTGTACTACTATAAACCCGTGGAAACAGTTAATTTACAAGTGGGAATACTGTACTGCAATATACATGGGGAATCCCCGTTTTTTCTTTA